GAAATAAAATAGAAACATTTTTCACATTCATAAAAATATTTATATATATATATATATCGGCAACCTTCCGTCTCGTGAGACGATGGTGCATCACCGTTGGGTTGGGTTGCATTTTCTCGAGTGGCTGTGCAGTCCTATCCTTGAGTGACAGTCTTTACCACAGTTTTTACACACGAGTTCCGTGCTTCCAAATGTTTTGGCCTTTCTCCTAGCTCTTCTGTCTGCAGCCTCTTCCATTCTTCGCTCCTCGGCTACCATGACGCCCTCTTTGACAACTGTGCGCCACGTAGATCGGTCTTTTGCCTTACACTCCCAGTCACTTGTATGTATTTTGGCTGCTTTTATGTCTCTTTGACAAACATCTATATATATATATATATATATATATATATATATATATATACATACATTTCTGTAAGATGTGAACAAAAAATTGTGTGGGTAAATTTATACAAGTTTTATTCCTGCTTAAATAGCGTTCAATCAATCAAAGTCGGTGTCACTTTTTAAAGGAATTATGTGTTGCATTCAATGATTGTTACCATCTTTGATCTTTCCCATCCTTGATCGTTCCCATCCTTGATTGTCCCCACCCTTGATCTTTCCCATCCTTGATCTTTCCCATCCTTGATCGTTCCCATCCTTGATTGATCCCATCTTTGATTGTTCCCATCCTTGATTGTTCCCATCCTTGATTGTTACCATCCTTGATTGTTCTCATCGTCGATTGTTCCCATCCTTGATTGTTCCCATCCTTGATTGTTCCCATCCTTGATTGTTCCCATCCTTGATTGTTCCCATCCTTGATTGTTCCCATCCTTGATTGTCCCCGTCCTGGATCGTTCCCATTTTTTTTATTTTTCCCAACCTTGATTGTTTCAATACTTATTGAGGAATTATGTGTTGCATTCAGCGATTGTTCCCATCCTTGATTGTTCCCATCCTTGATTGTTCCCATCCTTGATCTTTCGCATCCTTGATTGTTCCCATCCTTGATTTTTCCCATCCTTGATCTTTCCCATCCTTGATTGTTTCCATCCTTGATTGTTTCCATCCATGATTGTTCCAATTCTTGATTGTTCCTATCATGGATTGTTCCGTCCTTGATTGTCCTAGAACAATAAAATATGGTGACAATTTTTTTGTCAACTAGCATAAACAGATGTTGCTTTTCTTTTAATGAACTAAATGTTCATATTATTGACCATTGTATCATATTATTGACCATCGTATCATATTATTGACCATCGTATCATATTATTGACCATCGTATCATATTATTGACCATCGTATCATATTATTGACCATCGTATCATAGTATTGACCATCGTATAATATTATTGACCATCGTATCATATTATTGACCATTGTATCATATTATTGACCATCGTATCATATTATTGACCACCTTATCATATTATTGACAATCGTATTATAGTTTTGACCATCGTATCATATTATTGACCATCGTATCATAGTATGGACCATCGTATCATAGTATTGACCATAGTATCATATTATTGACCATCGTATCATCGTATTGACCACCGTATCATATTATTGACCACCGGTATCATATTGTTGACCAACGTCCATGTCCATTGACCATGTCCTATGAACGTCAACCCCATAAGAGATTTCCTTTATTATTCTGGGCAAAGCTACATTAAGATGGTATTGGTAATTGGTCAACTGCGTGCAATGACACGCGAAGCACAAACATACACAATGGTTTTTAAAGATCCAATAATATTTAACTAATTTATTTATTTTATTGAGCCGTGGTATTTTAGGCGGGAGAACTGTTTTATTGTAATTGATATAAAAATAAGATTTTAGACTTCCGTATTACAAAAAAAAAACTCTTCTTTTATACCATTCTCATTTTGTGGTTGGTAAGCTCTATATTCCGTAAATAAAACTCATTACTTGATACTGAGAATTTGAACCTAACAACAAAAAAAAAGGATTCAGTTTGAAATGAGCGTTCCTTAGCCTCACCTTTAAACGCACTTTCTCAGTGTTGATGGTGGGCATTCGGTGCAGACAATGTTTCTGCTGATGCACACACATTTTTTTTTTTACAGTCGCCTGCTGGGAGAATTGCGTCGTATTCTTTAAAGTGCTGGTTAATGGCAGATGTAAATTGACTAGGAATAGAAAATAATTAATACGTGTAGTTATAGTTGTCCCATAGCTTCATGTCAAACTCTCTAATTGGAATTAGCTTCTTCATGGCACTTATATTCTTGTCAAACTCTCTAATTGGAATTAGCTACTTCATGCCATACAAATGCATGTCAAGATCTCTAATTGGAATTAGATACTTCGTGGCATACAAATTCATGTCAAACTCTCTAATTGGAATTAGATACTTCCAGTCCCATAACCGCCTGACAAACTCTCTAATTAGAATTAACTACTTCATGTCCCTTAACTTCATGTGAAACATTCTAAGTAAAATTATTTACTTAAAGTCCCATAACGTCGTGTCAAACTCTCTAATTGGAATTAGCTACTTCATGTCCCTTAGCTTAGTGTCAAACTCTGAATGAAATTAGAATTAAATATAAAAGTCCTACAACTTCATGTCAAACTCTCAAATTGGAATTAGCTACTTCATGTCCTATAACTTCTTGTCAAACTCTAATTAAATTAGCTACTGGAAGGAATGAAAGCATTTTAAAAGAAAATGAAAGTAAACAAAACTCGATATTATTTTTGCCATTACAGTTACTTCCCATTAGTTAATGTAAGACATTTTATTGTTAAATTCCCCGCCTCTTCATGAACTGTAGCACAAGTGACAGTGACACAAAGAACTGTAGCACAAGTGACAGTGACACAAAGAACTGTAGCACAAGTGACAGTGACATAAAGAACTGTAGCACAAGTGACAGTGACACAAAGAACTGTAGCACAAGTGACAGTGACACAAAGAACTGTAGCACAAGTGACAGTGACATAAAGAACTGTAGCACAAGTGACAGTGACACAAAGAACTGTAGCACAAGTGACAGTGACACAAAGAACTGTAGCACAAGTGACAGTGGCATAAAGAACTGTAGCACAAGTGACAGTGACATAAAGAACTGTAGCACAGGTGACAGTGACAAAAAGAACTGTAGCACAAGTGACAGTGACACAAAGAACTGTAGCACAGGTGACAGTGACAAAAAGAACTGTAGCACAAGTGACAGTGACAAAAAGAACTGTAGCACAAGTGACAGTGGCATAAAGAACTGTAGCACAAGTAACAGTGACATAAAGAACTGTAGCACAAGTGACAGTGACACAAAGAACTGTAGCACAGGTGACAGTGACAAAAAGAACTGTAGCACAAGAGACAGTGACACAAAGAACTGTAGCACAAGTGACAGTGGCATAAAGAACTGTAGCACAAGTGATTTTAACACAAATGACTGTGAAACAAGTGACTGTAGCACAAATGACTGTGAAACAAGTGACTGCAGCACAAATGACTGTAACTCAAGTGATTGTAACACAATTGACTGCAAAAAAAGTGAATGTTACACAAGAAACATTTATATATGTCAGTGCGTCCAACTTGGTTACCTCATTTGTCTATTTATTCTCACCTGTCCATTTAGCTCACCTGTCCATTTATCTCGCCTGTCCATTTAGCTCACCTGTCCATTTATATCACCTGTCCATTTAGCTCACCTGTCCAATTTGACTCACCTGTCCATTTAGTTCACCTGTCCATTTATCTCACCTGTCCATTTAGCTCACCTGTCTGATGAAAGTGGGTATGGAAAATGGCCTTTGCTGCATTTAAATTTTCTAAACCTAAAACTACAAGGAGAGGAAATCTAGTTTCTGATCTATACACCCACCTAAAGGACTTCAGATCCAAATTCGTCTTGTTTTTTGGAACAAGTAAAGGCCAACAACTTGACACACTTTCAGCAGTGGGCGGTCTTCATAGCTGTAGCATCAGCGGAGTTCTCCACGTCATTAGCATGCGAGATCATCAAAGACCCCCAGCTGCCGCTTCAGCTGCGGTTTTCGAACTTGGATTTATACGCAGAAGAAGTGAGACTTTTTCAAAACCAATTTGAAGCAGATGAACTGCAGCTGGAGGTCATTGAGTTACAAGCAAATGACCTCCTTAGGGACAAGTTCAAAGAAAAACCGGTGGGTTTTTACCAGTTTTCGCCCAGGGAAGACTTTTCTAATTTCAAAACTTTTGCATCAAGGTACCTTTCAATCTTTGGAAGGACAGAAATGTCTGCTAATCACTGCTATTTTGGCATCCAGTAATCAATTTCACCATTCCAACTAATACAGATGTTCATGTTTCGTGTATCAATGTGTTATTAAATCATAACTGAATGAAATAAAATTAATCATTAATAACAATCCCCCACTCTAGCCCTCACCCCGTCAACCATTTTTAAATTCCATCCCACTTCGCGTGGTATCCCTAATTCTATGACTCCCATTTCCATATTTTCGACATTAATTCTGGGGGGCAATTTTGTTTCAAAAGTTATTCTATCGTCCATTTCGTTTTTAACCCCGTGACAGGTAAGGGGCAGGTTCTTCCTGGCCTGGTGGTGCGGCAAGAATGCGTATTCTGTATTTGTAGAAGTGTTTTTCGTGAACTAGGGGCAAAGCCAAGATCCAAACACTCAACAACCCGCCGGTATATCATCTCAGATAAATCTGTACGTTTCTTGCAGACAATATATTTTGGACACATGGGCAGGCGAATAACCTCATTCGTAGTTTTTTGGGGGGTATTGGTCAGCTTTGAAATCTGGCACCCCTCGAGTGTGCATGTCATAAGCCCCCCTTTCCCCCCCCCCTCCAGTAAGCATGTCATCAGCCCCCCTCGACTGTACATATCAACAGCACACTCGAGAGAGAATGTATTGCTTCACCTCACCTCACCACACAGCCACTTAGTTTGAAAGTATATATATATATATAAAAAAACAAACCAGGTGGACTAAAAGTACTAGATTTTTGAATGAACGAGTAGACATGAAAACAGTTGTTTTATTAATTTCTATATACAAACATATTCAGGCAGGGAATAACAATTATAGAAATGTGACAATGTCGGAACACAAGCTATGGACTAACCAGCTTGTTGACTAAGCAACTTACGGACTAACCAATTTGTAGATTAACCAATTTTTGGGCTAACCCACTTCTGGGTTAACCGGCTTCTGGACTAAAACACTTGTGGCTTAACCCACTTAAGGACTAACCAAGTTTTGGCCCAATCTACTTGTGGCCCAATCCACTTATGGACTAACCCACTTACAGACTAACCAACTTACATACTAATTTAATTAACTTGTGGATTAACCCACTTACGGATTAACCCACTTATGGACTAACCGACGTGTGGACTAACCCACTCATGGACTAACCAACTTGTGGACTAACCCACTTATGGATTATCCAACTGTCAAAATTTACTAACTATACAAAAAAAAAGTTACTTTAAAAACTAAAATATCTATAATTCTTTCATAGTTAATATGAATCTCAAAATAATGACAACAATTTTACCTCATTACTCTCTAACAGGATGTCTATCAATTAGAATTTACATTAGCTAAATTGCAAGTGCACAAATGAGCTTAACAGAATAGATTCCATCTTATTATTATAGGTGTCAAAATATTCAAGTACAATTTGTAACATTTTATTAGAAGGAAAAAAAAAACAAACAACCAATTTTTTTTTAAATTGCACTGGATTTTGCAGTGCAAAAGACACAAATCTCCAACAGCAGTTTTTGTTGTAGCGATGAATCCACCAATATTCTTTATATCTACCACACTCTTACATTAACCTTATTTGACATCCAGAACTACTATACTCTCACTAACTGGAGTCATTTTTTTTTTGTTTTGCTCAAAATAAAAGCTGTGGCAAAGGTCCTTAAAAATCTTTACTTTATTGAAAAAAAAACATTTAAACATTTCACCATTTTCTATGTAATTGGTAATGAAAATACTTTATTTTAACTATCATATACCAGTAACAATGTAAATTTATTGTTTTACCAGAAACAATGTAACTTTCTTGTTGCACTAGTAAAAAAGTTACTTTATTGTTGCCCCAGTAACAATGTGACTTTATTGTTACACCAGTAAAATTTTTACTTTATCATTTTACCAGTAACAATGTAACTTTATTGTTGTATCAATAACAATGTTACATCATTATTATTGCACCAGTAACAACGTTACTTTATTGGTGTATTTAATTTAATTGAAATAAGACAAATCAAAATGGAGGTGGCAACAAAAAAAAAACTTCAAAAAAAAACTTCAAAAAGGACAGTTCAATTTTTGAAAGGAATAAAGTGTTCCCAGTATTTATGTTTCAAAATCCTTCGCTATGATGGCATGTGGCATTAGAGTCAGTGAGGTAGAGCTGATTAGGACAATTCCCTTCAGGTGACCAATGTTACACTGTATTTTCTTTACTTACTTCATAATTCATTGAGCATTTGTAGTTGCCACTCAAAGAACATTGATCTGGCATTAAAACATATAAGCCATCGCTGGAGAGCTTAACCTCAATCCCTTTAAACATGGGGAAACTAACTGACATGAGCTGCCTTCTCTCATACACACAAGGCGCCTAACGCACAATTCAAGTTCATGCCGCTACATGTCATGTCTAAGCTAACACCTTTCATCCTTTATTAAAGAAAGGATGACTTCGTTCATAATTCTTATTTAACCAGACTCCAATGTTAAATTCAGCACATGGGACTAGCATACCTAACCTTCTTTAGTATCACCTGTCCTAGTCCGTTTACCCAAAGTATTACAACTTATTTATCAAATAATTTTCTCATGTCACTCTAGTAAGTGGACGTCCCCGTTCAACACAGTCCGGTGCTGGCACAAAATATGCCATTCGATAACTTGTGTATGTCCAAGCTGTCCGAGACTAGCTGTCATCTCCAGCCAGCTCCAAGACAGTCCCAGAGTAGGCCAGGTCCCAGTAATGCTCCACTCCTTGTTTCTTTAGCTGCTCCCGGGCAAAGGATTCTGTTGGGCAAGTTTTGAACTTCATTTCGTCAAAGGATCTCGTCTTCACCATTCCCTGCAGGATTTTTCATTTGTTTAGTGGAGTGCCATTAACAAGGGATGCTGGTTTATAAATGCCCTTAAATTCTATTTCTATGTTTTTAACTTTATAGTAATTATTCTAACTTTATTTTCATAGGCATATTTTATTTCAAAGCTGGATGAAATTAGGGATACAATTCATTATGCTGTGGTTTAACATCCTTGTAACTCTCTAAACGCTTAACCCTTTGAACCCTGGGCTCCTAGTCCTAAAATACCCATGCCCCTGGGCTACTGGGGAAAAATTCCACAAACTGACACGCAAGTAAACATAATCGAAGACTATAAAATTAAATAAATTTTATTTATTTCAATCTAAATTTGTATGTCATTTGCTACATATGTATTGTAAAATGTATAAGGATAAAATTGTCTTAGAAATGGTGTAAAGTAGCTTAGTAAAAGTTCATCTATTGGACCCTGATTTTTCAAAACAGCCAGGGCTTGGACTAGGGGTAGACCTTGTGTTGTTTATTTTATTTCCAAAGCACACATCAATAGCACTAAAAGTTGAAGTCAATCAATCGTCACTATTATTGTCTATTTGCTTTATTTCAATCCTTTTTCAAAATCCTTTGAATCATTGACATTATCATAATGCTATCACGTGATCAGCCCTGAACTCAGTATTTACAAAACACTTCTTATAGACAGACTGTTGATCTAGGGTGGGGTATGGAAGATCAAAATATTGGTCATGCCGGGTGTGGATTTGTAATGCACACAGACCCATAAAGTGGGATCGCAGGGTCAAAGGGATTATACATTTTAAAATTACATTACCCCAGTAATTGTAAGTACATCTCCGATCACATGATCTAACCAAATGTTTAGTAAGTTTGTTTTAATTTTATTAGGTTTTTATTGTAAACTCCTGTAAATTCTGGAAAACCAGACTGACATGTTTTAAGAGTTGTGTCATAAGACAAATAACATCAAAATCTAGTCATTAAATAGCTCATGTTAAAAACTAAAATGCTTACCTCCCATACAAGAACACATTTGTTGGTTTTATCTACATTGCTGTCATCTTCACTTGCCTCTGGAAAAACAATACAAATGAAACTTCACTGTATAAAACCTTGAGGTGGGTTTGTAAGAACTGCTTGACCAGGATTAAGTAGGGACCAACCATAAAAGATGTAACTCTGTTTTGGTAGACTTTTTAACCCTCCCCTCCCCTGTTTATTTTCTTCTTCATATCACCAATTTATCACAGAATTTTGACACACTCGGAATACATTATCAAAAATTTGATCTCCCCATTCTAGATGTGTGACATCATTTATGAATGGGCCCTTACACACAGTTTTTAATAAACCATTATCATTAAGCTTCCTTATTTCTCATCATCTGGGTGGAAATGACAGCTCTAAGCATTTTTGTTACATTTGCTGTTTGATTGATATTTAAGTCAGCCTTTTTTTTTTCTTCTAATTTTTAATAATTAAAATTCAGAGCCAGCCTCTCTTTTTAGTCTAAACCAAAATCTTTTTTCATTGCCTTTAAGTAATTTTAAACATTCTAGGCTTTTAATAAATTTCAAAATTACAAAACTATGATTATGAACAATCCTTTTTTTTTTAACTTTTCACTTTATGAAATCCAGTTATAATGCACATCAAATGCTGAAATTTTGTTATTCTATATTTTAAATTGCAAAACCCAGACTTGAAACACTACAAAGAAGGAGATTATGTTAATAAGATAAGATTCTTTTATTGATCCAAACAAATGGAAATGCTTTTTGATTGCAGCACATAAATAAAATGTTTTTACAACAAACTAGCTCATTTAACTTACATTAAAATAATAACAGTACAGAACTATTTCATTTCCATCTGACCCAACTTACCAACATCTTTCGTTCGTCTGTGAGATTCTGCCCACTTTATACGATTTAACATAAGTCGTCTAAATTTGCGCTGCTGTTTGGGACCTTCAGATATGAAAAATGATATAATTAATTCATTATCATGAAGGAGTTTTATCATTTCCTTCAATTTAGTAAAATATGGTACTCACACACACACACCCCCCCCCCCCCCCCACGAAGATGTTGTTATATCAGTTAGACTTAACTTAAAAATTAAGCTGTTATTCTTTAATTAAATCATTATATTTCTATATTTATTACATTTTTTTAATGTATAAATATTGCCATCAATTTATATCAAATATGAACCGTGTTTAAATGTACTTTACATGTGGTGATAATGATGAGATTAATTAAAATCAGGTTACAAATTGTTAACATTCTGTATTAGCACTTACCACCTTCAACAACCACCAGATTACAATCCTTATAGATAACAGTGATGCCAGTCATGTACAGCTGATTAGCATTGGTCTCAACTTTAAATTTGATGGCTGGGTCAGAAAGGTCTCGAACTCTAAGCAAGAAAAAAGAGATAAAAATGGAGTTGTTAAAAACAGATTATTCCTTGTGCTGCAAGTAATTTTTAAATCAAAGTAAGTAAATTTCAAAAGACTATATCAGAAAGTGTTCGACTAGCCATTTCACAACAGGATAAACGAGACATCACAAGGGCTTTTCCCACATTGTTATGGAAAGCAATGTTTAAAATATACAAGATCTAATACAGCAAACAAAACAATAAAAACCAAAGAAACTGAGGGGGGGATGACTCAAACCCCGTTATTTACCTGTAAACCGAAACATACACTCCCTGAGATGTGTCCTCTTTTATCTTAGAAATTTTTTTGTCCCTCCGCTGCTCTACTGTCAATTTCCTAGCTGCGTTTGCCTCCTCGTGCTGCCTTTGACGCTTGGCCATCTGTGCTCGAACATGGGCCTCAACTTTTGTAGGGTCTTGAACAGCTTCTGTTCCCAGCACACGCATCAGATTGGCCATTCTCACTGCATTCATTGACAAATAATATCAGAAAGTGATCATCAATTTAAAAGTATTATGCATCAATGTTTTCTGGTTGTCTTATCCTTGTTTTCAAACAAAATAATTTTTGTGAGGATTACCAACTATTACAATTTATTGACATCAGGGTTTCTTTTTATGTTGGGATCAGGCTACTAACGAAATGCGCAGGTTAAAAATAATTTACCAAACTTTCTTCCATATAAATATAAAAATTGGTAATTTAATGAGAAAATTTATTTTAAAAAGATGAACACTAGCATTACCCTTTGGCTCCAGCGGAGGTGCCAAGCCTAAACGGATTTTCTCTTGAATTTCTTTTTCAGCTTCTCTTCTGTTTTGTCTACGTAGCTTTTTCCTTTCCTTCTTGGTAAGAAACACTGGTATAGAAACTTCATCTTTGCAATCAACTGTTGAAACAAGCAGTTCATGAATTATGAAATGGTAATAGAACAAAGTTGATGAAAGCTCAAATCAATTTTTTTTTAAAATCTAATTGACAGTAATGGTAGTTCTGAATTATTGATAATTAATTATGATTTTAATAATATTTAAAGTTAAAAAAATTCAAAAGCAGTGAGCTTTAGAGATATTCCTCAAATATGTCTTTTTTTTAAACCACATAAACAGCTTAAATTCTCCTACCGGCTTTCCATTCTATTATTATTACAAATCCCTACCAACTCTCAACTACCTAATTGTGAAACTAAGGCTAAAAATTATAATTCAAAATTATAAATTTGAAAAAACTTCTTAAAATATTGATTAAAATCTATCTTTAAAATATAGTCTGCAGAGGGCCATTGGTGTACCTGGTGGTGCAATCTGTGTGGGGTGCTCGACCAGGTTTGTAATGCCATAAAAAGCTTGCCTGTCTATGTCACCAGTTTTGGGAACCACATCGTACCTGATAGGTAACAAATATAAGTAGAGTAGTTATAGAAATGAAACTTTCAAAAGTCAATATGATAATACTCTTTTTTTATAAGAAGGGGTATCGAGATTTTCTTAGATTGCAATCATTGGCATAGTTATTTTAAAAGATCTTTTTCAAACAAATGGTAGGGGTGTTTATAGTTTAAGTGCATTTCCCAATTGTGAATAAAATCAAACAGAGATGTACACTTAAAAAGAACATGGAAATAACTGCAAAAATTATAATGAAGTATTACAAAGTTTTATTAAAGACATGGAAAACTATAAACGCTTCATCAAAAGGCCTTTGTTAACAGACATGAAGCTTTTAAGTACAGTGACTTTAAAATATTCCCCCTTTTGTCCCTTTTTTTTTTGCACCACTTAATAAAACTTTAGAGAGTTTATAAAAAGATTCTATAACAGCCTAATTGTCATAAGACCCTCTTCCATTTGGATAAGGATTGTGCAACATCGAAAAACAAACGGAACTGAAGACAAAACATAGGATGACCTACGTGTTACTTCTGATGATGAAAGAGTCCCACCACTCTATGTCTGGTACCTCACCCTCTTTCTGTTAGATAAACATAGATTTAATAGACTTACTATTAGTTACCTGGCATCAAATAAAATCATAACACTGTCCAAAAAGCAACTACAAAAAAATGAACTATTAAGCTTTTGGAAGTAAAAGAGACAAGACTAAGTACTTTAACCACGAATCATAATGAAATAATCTACTTGATTATCATGAGCCATCATGATTCTAAATATTTTAAAATTATAGAAATATTAAATAAATTTAAGGGCTAAAAAAAATGTATTTTTGTGAAAATGCATATCTCCATTAGCAACGGGAGTTCGAAAAACCAAATAATTTTTTTAATCGGTGGGGTGAGGGGGGAGGGACTGTTGTTTTTTTTACATAGTTAATCTTATTATGAAAATCAACTTCTTAATGTCATCCTTTGTCACAACACTATAGAATTGACTAAAGTTTAATATCTGCCTAAGTCACTTACTATTTCTTTTTTGGGTGCAATTGTGGCTATCTTAGCAGCAGAAGCTATGCCAGTCTTTTTGGCAGCTTGTGCAATTTCTGCCTGAAGTCTTTCTAGCTGGGCCTGAAAAAAAGATTGATCTCACTAATAGATAGATATAAATATCTGACAACATTGCTGGTAGCCATCACAGCCAGAATCAAGAAAAAGCTACAGAATCACACTGTATGTTATCCTTTTATATAATTTAATAGTTCATAAAGACATATTTATTTATCACTATTGTATAAGTTTCTGTGGTAACTAGTTCTTAAGTCCATCACTGATTATAACAAACTGTTTACTGTCCCAAGGTCTCTTTACCTTTCCTACAATCCATGTCTACTTTATACTTAGTCGTCCTGCTCTACTACCAAGATTATAATGCTTCTATCATATACCTCTTGAATTTCTTTTACAGTATTACATTTTTTTACAAAATTTAGGCCTGAAAGATATATAAAATCCATTTGTTCCCTAATCTGTCAAAATTTACCAGCTAGCTTCCCCGCTGTTACAATATCTAAACTATCACTCTTTAAGTCAATATTGTCACCAAAGGAGTGAGGCTCCATGGCATTTGACGGCTTATTTTTGCACTTAGAGAAAACTTTAGATGTCTCGTATTTATATTGTTCTAATTAAAAAAGGTTTGTCTTAGTAAGAATCTTAAATTATTTATTGAAAATGAATATGTACAATCTAATTTTTTTAAAAACATTTTCATTTATTTGGATCAATGAAAGAATCTCATCTTATTACTAGGGTGACTACTACTCATATTTACACAATTTTGAATTTTGGTTTATAATATTCCTTTCATTATCAATCTAACATTACAGCATGTTACATCTACAACTAACTAGCTAATAAACCTATTAAATTTGGAATACCATCACAACATTTTGGTCACTCCGGTTATACCCACTTTATGAATCTCTTACAAGACTTTTGCATTTTTACTCTGTTTATAAGACTGTCATAAATGACAAAGTCAACTCAAATCTCGCTCTCTGTTCTGTATATAAAACTTAAGCAATCAAGTTCTTCCCAACCACCCCAGCCATTTATTTGACAAATTGATTCATCAATCCAGTCCTTACTTTTGCTCTCAGACGTGAGGCTTGCTGCTCAAACTTGCCCTTCTCATGGAATTTAAAACCTCTCTTTTGTCTTTGGACACCTTTTAAACTGAGGAATTCAAAAAAACAATGTCATACAAGAAAATTATGAATAAATATTAATCCTTAATTTGTAACATATTTTTCTTCTTTCAACTAAACAAAATCATGATAGTTATCTCCAGTAAGGAAATTGTATTCACTTTTATTAATTGGTAGGAGACTCATGCTACTGCAAACATTTAATTTGCTTTTTTTTTTTTTTTGTAATATCAGCTAAGAAACCCATTGATTGAACTTAAAAATAATTTAATGTTTACAATATTCTCACAGAGATACTTACGAAAGTCTACCATCAAAGAATTTACTTTCACTAATTTCTTCAGGTGGTTTATCAATCAATCCTTTGAACTGTTCTCGTCGTTTGGCTCTGATATTAGCCTTTGAGATAAGAAAGATTTAACATTTCAAACCGATGTATTATAAGAAAGACCTTATATTTTGATTAAACTCCATGTCAATCAAAATGAATGTACACTGGTATACAAACAAGCGATTAAGAATTGTCTCATTTTTTAAAACATTGTTTCTTGAAAGCTTTCATGCATGTCTTTGATTTTTAGAAGTTGTTAAAAATCAGTGATAATTGATGCACCTACTTTCAGTGTCGGGGTATAAAGGGCCAACTGCACTGCTTCTCCAGTCTTGGCATCAATTGTTTTGCCTTCTTCGTTCAAGATCAGAGGAGAGGGCCTAAAATATCAAGGACCCAAATAAAGATATTTTTTTAACAAATAAGGACAATTACAAGTTTGAATGAAAGTTTAAAATTTTCTATAAAATCAAAAATTATTGTGGTAATATTGACAGTCTGGCCTTGGAATGCTCACATTTTTTATATTTTAGTGAGAAATAACCCACCAAATAATGGCCGCTACATTGCATGAACTTCCCACCTGCTAAAGTTACTTGACAGAACATGCATTCAAGTGACACACTTTAAAATAATCCAAATTAGTGATAATTTCAGGAAATTTTATTTTGAGCACCTACTGATCACAGCATTATAGCCATACATAAATCCCTAGAGAATTATTATTTGTCATCATCAGAAAACAGTTAATTATAAGTGGATAAATCAAATAACCCCTTGATGGGAAATATGAAGATCATATAAGAGGCATTTACACCATCCATCCAGTATGCACTAGTCATTTGGTATTTTCTACATGTGCAGCAGAATGTGTGACAGCCTTTTATAAACATAAACTTTATAAACATAAACTAGCATGTTAAACAGTCTATGTTAGAGTGTGCTACGATAAATTTATAACACTCAACACTGAAGCAGAAAATATTACAATTTTTTTATGTCAGATCTTTAAAAAGGAACACAAAAGTAAGAAAAATGAGCAGCACTTGTACATAGCAACATCTACCACATCCTGCCTGCCAAAATGGACTGTAAACATACAAACTCTCTCAAATACACACCCTGCCAATGGTGGAAGATGTGTGGTCTGTTGTTGCTGTGTTGGGGCAGATCCCTGCAGGCCAGGGATAAGAGGTGGTGGCAAAACACCCGCCATCCCACTCAGCCGAGATTGTATTTGTGCCTGTAGTTCTGCAGCTCGTTTTGCCTTGTTCATTGCTGCATCTGTTGGTATGGAGACTGGACCTCTCTGAGTTATAAAGAAATTTATGATAAAGAACAGTTTAGTGTCTCACAATGGAGCATTGTCAGACCATACATTCAATGATCAAAATATACTCTCTAGAATTCTTTTTATAAGATTATGGATCAGTAATTTCAAAATCCAATGTACTTTAAGCATTTGAAGTTTCAACTATCCTTTTATTTTTTTTTATTTTTCAACTTTGTAAAGTGTATAAACATTATATTTATTTATTGATTGATTGATACTTTGACATGTAATGAATTGCGTTTAACTATCACAGACTTATATTTTACATTACACATATTTTTGATCCTTCAGAAAATATTTTGTGAGGTATTAAAAGACAAGATCAGTATGTACGTGAATAGTAGCTGAGGCTGGAATGGGCATGGTGGCCTGCAGCTGGGCTTTCCTTTCTTGAATCATCTTTTGGGCATTGGCCATCATCTCTTTTATCTGTTCGGAGAGTACCAAGTTAAACATGAGTTACATTGACATAAATAGAGCATAATACTTTTAGAAAAATATTCTTGAGTTCACAGAAAAAAAAACTAAAATAAAATTTTCATCAATGAGTTCAGAAGATTTCTTTAAAAGATAATTCACAAACATTATAAAAGAAGCATGAAACCTTTGAAAGAAACTACCAGGTACATTCAATTTCATTCAAAGTCAAAACTTTGATACAAATCAATTTATGTAATATAAAATAAAACTAATTTTACTTGAGAGGGAAAAGAAGGTTAAAAAAATATTTATTTTAAACAACAGCATTATAATTTCATTTCTTAGAGTGGACACAAGATTTCCTTTTTTTGGATATCTTCTTCAACTCCTCAAGCCTCAGTCTTAAAACTAATTTCTATGGAGCTCTTTTAAATAACTAAAATTAATTTCCTTCATTGCACTACTGCTAAAAATATAATATATAACATACCTTTAGTTTTCTGTATTGATTGTAATACCAATTTAATGTTATAGGTTAACAAAAAAATGAAACTCACTTTATCTGGTGTCAGCATAGATCCTGGGGGGTTAAGATTGGGCAATGTGTTCTTAGGTTTGGGGGCTGGTTGAGACATGGCCGCCATCTCATCAAATTCAATTTGATCATCAATGTACTTCTTTCTTTTCAAATTTTCATCTCCATCATCCTGAAAATTACAGACAAATTATCAAGCAATAATAATTGAAGGGCTGCATTTAAGTTAAGTAAATCAAATAGCACAATTAGGTATGTTGAAACTTGAATCAATGGACAAGAAATACCACAAGAACCAGAGCACAGTAAACAAAACTAAAAAAACTCTTGAGTTTTTTACAGTGCTCTGTTTCTTGTGGTATTTTCGTTGATCCTGTGCGCTGAAGAAGGCTCTATGCCGAAACCTTCAAATCTTATTGTACTGTCAATTGATTCAAGCTGCAACATCACTTGTTCTGCTATTTCATCATGTGTATACCAATTAAACACTATGTAGAGATAAAGTTACTTTATGATAAGCTTTATTTGAATGAAAAATAGATAAAAAAATAATTGAATATACTAACAGTGAGAAAATCACAATGTCCAAGAAAATTACCAAGGTCTTCCATACTCAAAATTACATTCAAGTGTCCCAAATTATCAACTTTTAACACTTGAAAGCCTTTTATTTATTCCAAATTTAAAAGCAAATTTGTCTAGTTTTAAAGTATTAATGTTAATACCAGGAAACAACAAAAGTGATCATTATTGAAGCAAATCATAATTTTCTTTAAAATTTCCAATAAAGGCCATAGATTATTTCATTTATTGAGCATTTAGCAGCTTTGATAAAAAAACAAAAATACTAAATAAGTTTATACCTGTTAGTTTAGGAAAAGTAAAAAAATATTTCTAGTGATTATAATTTTAAAATTTAAAAGCTAATCCTACTCTGCGCCTCTTCTTGACACTTCTTAGACTGTTTCTAAAATCTTCATAAAGATGATGGACACGTTCAGCTAGGGTTGAAGCTTGTGAGCGGTCCAAAATACGAGAAAGTTGCTCTGTGAAAAAAAGGTTAGTTAAGAATTCAGTCTAATTAGATGAAAAAGTAGTAGATAATCTTCACATAAAACAGGGGGGGGGGGAATAAATAAGTAAATTGATCAGAAAAAGTTTTAACCATGATCAATAAAAGAAAATAAACCTAATAAGTTTTATTTTATTTCCTTACCGATTGTCTTGTTCATATCATAGCCTGTGCTAAGACAGTTCAGGGCAGCAGCAACAACGGTTGGCTCACTAAAACCAAGCAACTGTTTGACTGTGTCACTCAGCAATGGCTTCAAATCATCCAAGTCTCTATGTGAAAGAGCCATCTTTTGGCTTGTTTGGAAATAATCTGAGATAAAAGGAAAATTAAAAGGATATCATCTTTGCCTACAAGTAAATCTATATCTAATCTATAAGCATATATCACTATAGTTACAAAAGCAAAAAATTCAGCAAATTATTTTTTAAAAGAATTTCAGTTCAGTAATAAAGATATTGCTAGATGCAGAAAGTATTTAGGGGGCCATCCGCAACATAACTCGTGGGAGGAGGATTGTCACAAATTTGTGAGGATGTTCAATAAAAGTGTTTACTTTGTGATTGTGTTACAAATATGTCAAAATAGAAGGTAAATATTATGGGCGAAAATAATACTATACTATACAGTTAATACAGTGATGTCACTATAGTCTATAATGTAGTCATTTTCATTTAATTTATGAATTAAATGTTTAAATGAAAATGATTGATTGATGACTGAATTTGTTGTTGTTTTCATTCATTTTATTTTGCATAAGTAACTCTATCATACTGTCTATGTGGACCCAATTGTAGTAAAGCCCTGCTGGTCACTCGGTCTCCATCAATTCAAGCAGCTCACCTTGGCCCTTGGTGAAGTGTTATAAATTATAAGTTATAACTTTATTTGATACTGATGTGATACTTTGAGCGGTTTTCTAAGTATACAATAAATATAAAATAGGTAAATTTACAAAAAAATTTCTGAAAGTAAGAAAATATTGGGCTAAAACTGTGGGTACTGTGTTTTAATTGCTTAAAATACTATATCTGTTATACCTCTATCTATTAATATATGAATGTTGTTAATTTTTGTTTAGATCAGGTTATGTGCCCAGCGCGTCGCCATCTTAAATGCCAGATTTTTTAATATTGGACTTCATTAGACTTATCTGCTAATATAACTCAAGAAACGCATGTTTACTTTTTTATTACAATTACCTTGTAATAATAATGATGTTTAAGTAATTCGCTAGGAGTATAAACTACTCCTTTTAAAGTAAAGCAAAACACGAAAATAAATCTTTACTTCCACATTTAATAGTTAACCAAGTTAACTGGCAAATATTTGCAAACCTTTTTATTTTTTCAAGAGCTCTCTTAACAAGAGGTCAAAAACACAACTTCTAATGAGAAAAAATGGCGTCTTCCTCATCTGGTATTTTTCTTCAAATTTGCATTTTACAATAGGTAAATGATCTTTCATTGAATTGTTTTTAAAAAATTAAAATGTATACCATTTTAGAATGGTAGCTTCAGAAACAACATTATATTGTGCCCATAAAATTTGTATCAATTTTTTATGTATAATATAACACTGATTTATTTTTTTTAAAATCCTCTGCCTGCTGATGAGTGATGAACAGAACAATCCGACTCATTTTCGGGGATATGGTAAACCTTGATTCTTAAAATAAGTTTATACAACAGGATATGAAAAAATTAGGCTTAGACCTTAAACTTTAAATCAGGTATTTAATGTTTAGATTCGTCTGCTATTAGGACCTTTGGTGAAGAATCATTCTTAGAATGTAAAATGTAATGTAAAAAAAAACATGCCTGTCAAATTAATTAAAAGGCAAGGCACACCTGCCTAGGCCAAGACTTACTTTTTACAACTTACTGAACTTACTCTATGAGGGTAATCCCTTATTTTAGCGCAATTATCATAGTTTAGTGAAATAATTTTTTTTTAAACTGATAGAAATACATTAATCGTTCCCATAACATAATTTTAAAAACCAAAGGCTATTTAAATTTAATAATATTTTGTTTTCCAAATATGTTTTTTGTGTATTTTCGTTAGTTTTAAAGGGATTTTTATTTTAAAACATGTATTTCAGCCAATGTGTTTCTTGATTTTTTTTTTCACTTTTTCCTAGTCTCAGACCAAAAGCAATATTTATACTGTTTAAAAGTACAGTAAAAATAAGATACAATTAAATTCTGATTCAGAGCGGTCAGCTTACATTATTGGGGTCATAAGATGAATTAGATGTATTAATCCTTTACGGGGCAGAGGTACTTTCTCTTGCATCTCCTGAACGGGCACCACTTCTCCGGTTTTTAGTAAGATTTAGGGTTACGTTAAAAAAATCAAATCTAAGGTGTTAGTCAACATATTTTTGTGAAATAAAAAGCAAAATAAAGAAAATGAATGCAGATTTATAATTTTATTCACATGTTGCCATTAATCCTCATATGAATACAAATATTTGCAAAAACAACATATTGTTTGTGATTGTGAGTCATCTATTTACTATTTACAAACACTGCCACAAAATCAAAGTTTGTAAAATTCAACACTGCTCACTAAGCTGATTTCACTAAATTACTAATAATATTAATATCTAGTTCCAATTTACAGTCAATTCTTGCACTTTAATGTCACTTATTTGAATCCAGCGAAATCTCTGCTATCACTTGAATAATCTGCAAATAATCGGCAAAATCCACTTCGAAAAAAAAAAATTTTAAACCCCTACAACTAGAAAAAAAAAATACTTGTCACTGGCACCCACTCGATCCAGCATCAGAAAAACCAGATGTAAGCAATAGGAAGTCTCACAAAGACTCGGAGGTCAAGAGTTTATAACTCTATGTCGTCACGGACGCTTTTGGGCGTTTAGCTCGTTCAGTACTAAAGACGTTTTCGGACGCTCTGCCCGGTAAAGAGTTTACTGATATGTATTTTGTACTATTAGGAACAAAGGTAAGTTTTAAAATAATAGTTTTATAATGTTATACCTTCAGTGTTTCTACTCTTTTCTAATGGATTTTTAACTTTATTTGACACTCTTGAACAAATGGTTGTAATATACTGAAACTGATACTTGGCATAGTGCCCCTTCTTTTCAGTGTGTTCGGAATGTACCGAAGATCCCTTGAAGCCTTAGGGAGGGGGGGATTAGAAATTGTTTTCAAACCAATGCAGTGAACACTTCAGAGACAACTGTATCGAGACAAGTGAACGCATAGATAAGTGACTATGCGCTCAAGCAGCAAATAGCTAATTTAACCTATGAACAAATTTGCCGAACGGCTAAGTCCCATGGCCTCTTTCAAACTCACATCTACCTGTTTTGGGCACAAACACACAGTTGGCAACAAGCATCAGAGACGACCATGGGAGAACATCTTTTGACCCACAATATGTTTTTATAGTTTTTCTGGCATGAGAAATAGGGCACCAACCTTGACCCCGTAGTCACATTACTGACCAACCAAAAATTCAACAAAGTCTATTCCTTTCCATCTTGTGTCAGCCTGACATTGGGGGTACTCCAAAGACATCCACAGTCATCAGACTTGACTGCACAGCATGCAGAACAGGAAAACCAATTTCTGGGAAAAGTCGTCAAACCGGAGGGTTTTCTTGGGGGTGGATCCAAAAATGAAAAAAATAATTTTTTAAATTTTGATCGAGCATGCAGCTCCCTAGTTGTTTTTGGTTTCAGTTGTCTATATTCGCTTTTCTGCATGTTCACTGGTGCTTCGGTTCACTTTTCCTATGATTGGATGTCTTATGGTGAGTTGTCTTGGGTTTACTTGTCCTGCATTTATTTGTCAGGTAACCATAGCTGACACCATCAATGTTGTGCAGCATTTATGATCTGGCTGGAGGTAAAAGCGTAAACTAATACACAGGGAAGCCGTGGTGACTGCTTTGCTGCCTGCCCCTTCCTAAACAGCAACATGGCAAGGCCATGGAGATCATGTCACTCTGGCCATGCTGACATTTCTCCATTACATCAATGTATTAGAGAATGACTTCATCCTGGTAAGCACCAGGGCAAAAGATGAGAAGCGAGAAACTCGGCTACATAATAGAATTCCACCAACATCAGAGAGCGACCAATGTCTAAGCGTTGGTTGACGTGTCATTTATAAAAATCTAGATACAACCGATTGGGCAACACACAAAACATATCTTTGAAGACAGAAGAGTTCTCCTTGATTTACCACAATGTCGCTTGTAAATGACAAAAGATTCATGAAATGTACTTTTTTTATCTTGTAAAACTTGTTTAATGTTTTTATCTTGTATAACTTGTCTTCGTCTTTAATGGTTGTTGTGTTCCAACAAAAAAGACAGTATTTCACATTTATAAATACTTTTAATATTGAAATAAGTTGATTATTATTTTTTTAAAGTTAATTATGGAATTTATTGCGCTATAATAAGGTAACCCACTATGAGCATGAGTACAAAAAGTAAAATGAAACAAAACTGGTTTTAAGTCTAAACTCTAAATGAAAAGTTTTAAGCACATTAGTCTTTATTCAATAACATTTTGTGAGTTAATCTTCAAAAGTAGGTCTATACTATCAATAATTATACACTATGGTAACTTCAATTACCAATATGAATTGTTGGTTAACCAGTTGTAGACAAAAGTCAGAATTTTATTTTATATTGTTCATGTTAAATAATGTATTTTGGAATAAATTTAATATCATCATTGTATTAGGTCTAGGCTACTTGACTTACTTAGACTTAGATTTATTTTGTATTGCTGAATCTTTACTGGTAGACACAGGCTTTTTAACTTTTTTTTTTTTGTATAGACGTAAACATGATGAATGTATAATCTTACTACTAAATTAATATAATGGTTAGCAATGAAAAATCAACTAAACTCTTGGTGTGCTGTGACCGTGTGTATGATATATCAGAAAAGTTTCAATAATTTTGTTGAGTGTTATAAAGTAGTTTCTTATGTAAGCCCTGAATTATTTTTTTAAACCGTCTGCTTCCAAGGGAAAAATAGTTAGGTGGTATTTATTCAATTAATGGGATGTGATCAACACTTGTATTTTTAAAGCGAGTGTGACATTTGTAACCATTTATGTTTCATAGCTGTAAACTAATTAATACTTCATGATATGCATATGTATTTTATGCTTTTGATTCTTCATTCATTTCTTTTTCATCATTGGCCAGTTATGACGTCATAGAGCTACAGGTCATTTTTTTTCCATCAGCACTGTTCAGAGATTTTATCATACACCTAATTTTAACTTATAGAAATTATCAGTCAGAGAAGAGTTAATAGAATTTTTAATAATGAAAAAAAGCTTTCTCTAAACTATAAAGAAAATAATGATATATAATTACCAGAATGAAGCTTTTTTTAAAGTTTTGATTTTTTTTTTTAATTTGTCTATTTTTAAAACTTAACATAATAAAATTATTTCCACAGGCTACATACTTTTTTTTATGAATTCAAGTGAGAGAGGGCATACTAAAATATCCACTCCTACTCATTTCTTAAGGTAATAAGTTGCTCCTGTCACGTGGATTATATCATAGACCAAAATCTGAATTATAAATATTGTCATAACGTTAGTGCTCATGTGCTGCAGCAAGATGCGTTATATCATAGTTTCAATGAAAGATTAACTTTAAAAAGCTTTTAAGTATACTCGGTACAACAGTTTTTTTTTAAAGGAAAGCGTTCTGAATATATAGGGTAAAAAAGAAAGAAATACAGTCATAAAAGAAGCATAGTAATTTTCTCTAGAAAAAGTTCCAGTAACTAGTTTTACATCTTAAGTCTTATATTAAAAGTCTTTAAATGCTAATATTGTTAACACATCTTTAACTGTGTGTCCAGGACATCGGTATTAGAAAATGTGACAAGCAGCTTGTAATCATGTGTTGAGTCTTGTTATTGTTCCAAACATAAGAGGAAAACCAAATGTTCCGTTAAAGTCTAGCTATATCTCTTTAAAGATATTTTAAAAGACTTGATGAAAGTGTTAAATATAAATCCAGATATTTGGGAAGGTTTGTCTAAGGATCAAACATCGATCCTCTTTACACAAAGGCTCCATGCCACACGAAGCCAACAGAACTGCAGCTGCAGAGCGAAAACCAGAAAAACCTGGGCTAATTTTGCACCTTTTGATTCTCCATCCATTCCTTGCTTCTACTGCACTAGAATATTTCATGCCAGAATCTGTCTAATCAGTCATCTGACACCCACCCACAGACAGACTCAGAACCACAAAAATATGTTCTTGTTAAAGATTTCTAATTTTATCCTGAAAAAAAAATGTTACTTTTCATTTTGTTAAACATAGCAATGAATTATAAATTTTGGGGTTTTCCTTAAAGACAAAATCAAATTTTAGAATGGCAAAACTTTTGAATAGCATGGTATCAGAAGTTTTTTTTGTTAGTTTTTTTTTTATACTGTACAAGGATGGGAAGGCTATATAATAGTTGAATTAGAAGTTGGTTTTTTTAGAATAGCATTGCATTAGAATTTTTTTTAGATTTTCTTAAAGAAATGGTTTTTAATTTTTAAGCTTGGAAAAAAAAACTGACTTTTCTTCTTAAGTCAGTTCTGACACTCTCTTAATTTCCTAGTGGAAAGATAAACAGTTCACTCTAAAATAAAGAGCAAGAAGGACCAATTTTTTCTTCTCATTTTGTACATTTAATTACTTAAAGATTTTAAACTCACTCTTTAACTATAATTCATAATTAAGATTTATGCAGGTACATTTCTGTAGCTACCTTTGATGCTAATAGTAACCGAAGCCATTTAGGCCACCATTTGTTTTAAAATATATTTAATATCCATTATGTTAATTCAATTTTAATGTAAAATGCACCATTTCAAATAATTAATCATGCACTTAACTCATCCATCGTTATGTCTTGTAGAGTTGAAAATGTCTGAATCCGACTTAACATCAGCCATCCTGAATGAAACTGAGATGGATGAAGCTGGGCCTGGTATTGAATTCTCTGACAACCCAGATTGCTTTGGAGATGGGAAAGTCTGTGCTGAGTGTGGAAAGGTTTTTTCCCATCCGTTCTATTTCAGGTGAGAATTTCAAAATGGCATTCATTTTCTAAGTGAATGATGCAAAAACTTTTACACTATACACTGTTAAGGAGCTATTATCTTCTAAACAGCTGTTTCACCTGTCGTACTTGTAAAGTCTTTGAGACTTTTTTCTTTATTAATTTTGCTCTTACAACCCACCCGCCCCATCTAAAAAAAATTACAACTAGAAGATGATTCCAACTAGAATCATCTTCATCATCCTTGAAATCACATCCCCCTGAGACTTAGCTATATAATATCTTTTCATTGGTAATCAGACCTCATATCTCAAAGTTGTATAGTATTATACTAAAAACTATATAAATTTAACCTCAATGAATTGCAATTTCTTGACTAATTTTCACCATGTGCAGCCAAGAAGAAATGTATTTTATTTTAGCATAGCGATTACTCTAATCTTAATTAAAAACCATAACGGAGTTCCCAAATAATTAGCAAGAGAGTTTATTTATTTCAAGCTTGATTACAAAGTGTAATGTCAACTTGATAGTCAAGGCATTATTTTTTTAGTTGACTCTACCTTTTGCATTTTATTTCAGCACTCACATTAGCATCCATTATTCTGAAAAAAGGTTTTCTGTCGGCCAATGCAACTTGTGTGGCCTCACCTTTGCAGATCCACATGTCTACCAGAAACATTTGATGTCTTCAAATGCTAGAATGTCGGAACAGGTGATTTCAATGCACATTTTTTTAAAAACTAGAAATTTTATGGATTTTCCTTTTACTTTTATAGCAGCAAAGTGTAGTGTAGCTCTTCTGTTGGTCTTTTCTAGACTAAAACATGAATTTCCAATCGCATCACTTTCACACAGTTTGATGCATTCTATATATCATAGGAAAGTTAATTTTGTTTCACTGCATCTGTGTCATTTATTTATTTCCGAAACAAAAAGGTTGGAAAGGTAACGTTCAATTATTTTTCTGCAGCCACCCGATGACGAGGAAATAAAAAAAGAAACAGACTTCACCCCTGAGTATCACTCTCAGGACGACCAGAACTTCGATGAGAACGGCGAGACGATGAATCTAGATGAGGTGGTTGTTAAGCAGGAGATAGATGCTGACATGTCGGATGACCTCATTTCTGTCAATCAAGAGCTGGTTAGAAATCAGGATACAGACTTTGAACCCAGCACTAAACGTCGACGTAAAATGACCCAACGCTACGAGCCTGAACTGATATCAGGTCCGTCCATGGTAAACCCTGACACAGACCCTGCGGTGGAAGCCTATTTGATGAGCTTGACGGAGATGGGATTGACCGTGGACCCGGCTGCTTTCGCAAATCCTCGTGTGAGAGGTCGTGGGAGGAAATTCATGGGACCTTCAAGGGGTCGATGGAGAGGACCGAAGTTTCCGCCGGGAAGAGATTTTATGATGGCAGATGCATTCCCACCGGTCCCCAAGAAGCCTAGCCCAAAATACGAATACTTGGATTATGATGTCCTGCTTGAGGATGATGTCGAGATTTTGCCAAAGAGTGGTAAGCAAACACGGGGCCAGCGGTTGCAGCAGCGGCAGGAAAGGCTCAGCCAGCAAAAGGAACCCAGCAAAGTTCAAGATGGCCCAGAGGGATCAGAAGCTGCCCTTAAAGCGGAGCCTGGCTCTGATAAAAACAGTGAGTCTGATTCTACAGCTGCAGTAAGTGCTACAGCTACTGGAAGCCCTGTAGTGAGTAAAACACTAAAGAGAAGCTTACCCTCAACGAGCGCAGGTCCCAGCCTAGTCGATCGGAGTTTTGCTCTAGATAAACAAATGATCAAAGCTGAACTGACGGACAAGGACTATTCACCACGAGCCTCATCTCACAGTAAAGCCAGAGGTCGGGGGTCAGCTCAAAAACGTGGTGGGAACCCTGCGGTGCAAGCAGCTCAAGTGAGAGCCTCTGCTCCGGGTGCACCCCGACCAGGTTTTACGGGGTACGCCATGGCTAGTCCCACTTTCCGGCCAGCCGTTAGCCTCGGCTCTGATGTCATTCGTCCAGCTGTTAACAAAGTTAGCAGAGCCGGAATGGCGACAAATCCGATACGTATGAAGACAGTCACTGCCACTTCTTCTGCATCAAGTGGTCCTAAAATGTCTAAAATGGCTAAAGCGCCATCTGGGATTGAGAAATACAAACAGGAATCTCGCGAGTACGTTGAGATCATGTTACAGTCACTCACCGATGAGCTTATACCTACCAAAATGGGCAAAAGTTCAGTAACCTCAAAGACATACTTTGGAAAATCTGGGGATCTCTCACTAGGATCATCTTCAAGTTATTCTGGCAATCAGTCATTTTTTCATGGTGTCGGTGGAACCGGTGGTTTAATGGGCAGCCAGCGGCAGAATTTGGGAAGAGGGGGTTTACCCACAGAGACATACATGTATGGGAATCAATTGGGCCAATGGTCCCAACCCATGGGATCTTGGCCTATGAGCAACAATGGCGCCAGGGGTCATAGCGGCTTCGGTTTATTTAACTCCAGGCCCCCTCGGGCACGAGGTGCCAGGGGTGTAGCGGCCAGGGGCGGGGCAATGCAACCCCAACGTGGCGCTGCCGGCCAGCGAGGAAGGGGTGGTCGAGGTCACGGTATGATGGGGATGATGCCATCAACTTTCATGGGGCCGACCGCCGGGGTCGCACAGAAACCCCAACAAGGTTTGCCAGTTCAGGCCAAACCCCCGTTAAACCCACCCACTGTATACCCTGTGAAAATGGGGAGGGGTGGCATCGGTATTCCCAGGGGAGGAGTGAGTAGTGCCAGGGGAGGACTCACACCACCTGCTAAAATCACCCCTCCACCTCCAGTAAAGATGCTAAAGCCGGCCATCACTACAGAGGAAGTAATAGTCCTCGATGATGATGATGACGATGAGTCGGCAGCGAAAGGCAAAGACACACCGAGAAAAAAGCAGATCACTAGTGATTCCAGTGGAGCTGGCCCGAGCGGTGTCACGCCAGTGAAAAAAACTGCAGTCATTGTGGATATCGACAAAGAAGGAAGCAATATTGCCATCATAGAAAAGTCAGATAAAAAACCAGAAACCCCCTTGAAAGATTCTGACAAAGGGGGTGACAAGAAACTTCAACTGTCCCCTTCGGTTCGACTGACCAGGATTGATGATGTGAAACCTTCAGTTTCCAGCGACAAAACAGAGTTACCCCAGAATGACCATGCAGAGACTTGTAGTAAAGGCAGCCCCTCGGGCAGTGAGGATAATGACAAAAACGTGGCCAGTAAAGGGAAAGGTATGCTTGAAGTGGAGGACATAGACGGCTGGAAAGTCTGCCTGGCAAAAGATTCTGAATCAGAGTCTGACAGTGAGAGTGATCAAGACAGTCGAAGCCCTGTTAAGACAGCAGGAAGCAGAGACAAAGAAACCTTGCCAAATGACCCAGAAGGAAGGGGTGAAGCGAAGAGACCTGCAGCAGAGCCCTCAACTGAAACACAGGGTGGGAATGAAGGTCAGCCTGACCAGTTGAAGCCACACCAAAGTTCTCCCGATGCATCTCCTGATGATGTTGACAACACCAAGCATAAGTCGGGGAGCTCCTCAAGATCAGACAATTCTGTACTAGCGTCCCATGACACTGAGGACTCCTTGTCCAGCAGTGTGCCATCCGCTTCAAGTGTCCCTCTGACTTTCCCGAATTTCATTGGTGACACGGATAATTTGCTGGATATTTTCTCAGAGATTGAGAAGACCTGCAAAGAAATTGAGGAAAATTCTGGGAATGAGAGAGAGGACAGTGGGGCAGAGTCGGATACCAAAGATTTGAAACGTTCGGAAAGCTGCAACAAAATGGCCAGTAGTCAGCCTCCAGGAGAACACTCAGTAGACAAGGAGGGTGGAAAGTCTGAAGAAGGGAAGATAAGTGAGGTCTTGAAGAATTTAGAAGGCACAGAGCAGAAGAAGAAGCGGCAATCAAATGCTAGGGGATCTGTGAGTAAACATGGCGGCCAGCGGAAAGGTAAGGTCGACAATGTTTCACAGGAGGAGGCCAAAGAAGGTAAAAAACGCAAAGATGAGTTGAATAATTTATCGAAAGTCATTGATCAAGAGGAGGCAGATGATGGTGATGATGAAGAAGCTAATGGTGAAGATGACAGAATGGACGCCGAAAGGAATTCAGAAATTGAAAGCCCGGCAGGAGATGAAAGGAGCGATGAAGATAATGAGGATGATGATAATAAAGTCGGGAAGCAAGTTGCAGTGGTAGAGCAAGATGATAATCATGAATGTTCTATGGAACATGACGAGAGCTATGAACAAAGCACTGGGAGGGGGTATGAGGAGGAAAAGGAATGTGCCATTAGCACTGGAAGCCTATCAACAATTGATGAGCTCAAAGCAACACAGCTGGGACTCTCAGAAGCTGAAACCAATGCCTGGAAATCTGACACCGAAAAGGTTGTCACTGATTGTGGCAATAAGGTTGAAGTGGCCAACCAAAGGCCGTATAAGAAATCTGATGATGCCCCGGTTAGCGTCTCTGAAGAAACTTACCACAAAACTCTTGCCGACAGGACTCAAGAGATGCAAGACTCTGTGGTTGCACCCTGTGAATCGATGGCAGGCGATAGGGGAAAGGGAGGTTTAAATAAAGATGTGTGGCAGACGGAACCGACCCACACAAACAATGAATCCGAGAGCTTTAAAAATGAAGGTGTCCAAATGGAAGATGTGATGGACGGCAAAGGTGATCATGCATCAGTTGTGAGGATTCATGACAGTGCAGAAAGAGAGAACTGTACAAATGACATGGGGTGTAAAACAGATTTATTTGGTCCAAGCCATGCGGAGAGATTTGTGGAAGATAAAGGGTTAGAGCAGGGTGAAGGTGATGATGTCAGGGAAGAAAGAATATTTGAACAGTGCAGTCATAACACTATGGATGGTGTAGATTCTGAAGTGGGAAAGGAAAATAATGGTTCTGATGAGGTCACAACTGGCCTTGAGATGGCACCTTTTGAACCTAACAGAGCAAGTGAACAGGGTTTCCAGGAAAATGAAAATAATTCGGACCAGGATTTCAAGAAAAAGTCCCCTGGGCGGTCATCATGTAAGGATGACACTTTAGAGGACACCTCAGATCATGACAGTGACAAAGATAAAGACGGAGGTAAGAGAAATGGTGGCAGTGGGCGAGATAGCGGCTCCAGTCCTCAGTGTCCAGCTCACAACCTAAGCGGAGCAAGCTGCAGCAACAGCACTTCTTCAAACAGCGGGGACAGCAGAGGCAGCAACAGCCACAGCTTGACTCTGAATCTAACAGACAGCCACAGTTGTGCGACCACCAGTGAGGGACTATCAAGTTTCAGTGGGATCCATTCAACAGACTTTACTTCTTACCTTTCACTCAGCCGTGGCCACGCCATGGATGCTGGTCAAGCGAACCGACCCATGCCTCATCGTTGTGAGGGCAGTAATCTCATAACTGCACAGTTACCCAGCAAGTTTCCTACCTGGGCCTCATTATATGGTTCCAGTGAAAACTTCAATAAATTTCATCACCGCTGCAAAAGATCATTCTCATCATCAAAAGCTGTTGACTTTTGTTCTTTTGGGAGGGATTTTGGTGAGACGGTTCTGCTGCCTCCAACATTTTGCACCAAAAGAAACGTTCAAGTTTATAATGATAAACTTGTGCCGGAGGACATTGATAGATCTCATGAAATGCCTTGCAGCTGTGACATTGCAAGCGATCATTGCATTATGTCTGAAATCTTGTCATGTGTCCAAGATAACAGGATCAATTTCCCCACGAATGAAACAGCGCCTCAAGGAACCTATCATCACTTTAGTAAGATGCGATCCCTGAATCAGGTGCACCAAAAAAGTTCCAATGACTGCCGCTGGTGTTCACCAGAACACAGCAGTTTCATGAAACACAATGTCAGATGTGGATGCAGGAAAAGACTTGGTGCTGTTGCAGTTTGCTGCAAACATTCAAGAAATGTTAAAATTGTAGGTCATAGTCTCAGATCAAAATTTCATTCCAGTCTGAGGTCTAGATTAGCAAAATTGCTGGGCTCACAATTACCAGAAATGTCAAAATGTGAGATGGGATCAAGACCTGGCTGTAATGGTTCAGGTCCAGCCCCAACCGGCATCAGCGCTGAATGTGAAATGGTTGGGCTTACTAAAGCCTGGCCGAACCATTGTAGAAACGATCTATTGGTAGAATTCCAGGAAATAGAATTCCTAGAAAATAGTTTAGGTACTGGAAATTGTGGCAGCACACAGCCCAAGTGGATGAAATCCACCAGAACAAAATCGTGGTCTAAGTCCTTGCATAATGCCAGTAAAAAAAGCCTTTCTAAATACAAGTACCCTTTGAGTGGCCAACCCCCAACAAAGGATAAGACCAAAGTTAACCAATGTTTATTGAATCTAAAAGCTAAAGTCCAAGATTGTAGGAAGTTACTTCTTAAGCCTATTGTGTCAAATGGCTTTGTTTCTGATTCTAAACCCACATCTGGGTCTGTACATTTTAAAGCTGGTTTTAAGGAGGCAATTAGTTTGAATCAACTCCTCAGAACAGAGTCTAAAGGCTGGCCTGTGAGGACCCATGGACAGAAGGATGGTAAGAGTAATGGGAGGCAGACAAATGGACCAGCCAACAACAATCGTACAGGGAAATCTGAGGGCTGCAGCAGAAATAACAAGAGAAATTATAACAGCGAAGACGACGACACAGGAAGTGACTGTGATGACAGTGACAATGATAATTCAGATGGGGATGACAGTGAGAGTGCAGAGGATGGGGTTTATCAATTAGTGGACTGCCCGATATGCGGGATCATATTCAAACACGTCAAATTTGTGAAGAGACACATTTCATTGAAACACAAGAAGTGGTCCCTCTGCAACCAACCCATCAGTTCAGCCACACCACCAAGTTATGTCCTGGGCAAAAACAGTGGAAGGCCTCGTTCAGAGCGAGCACCCACCATTATAAAACTTACAGAATCTGGACAGGTCAGCAGCAATCTGTACGAGACGGTTGTGCTTGAAAGTGGTACAGAAAAAAAAGATGTTGTGATGGTCAAACCCACAAAGTCGGTTTTAAGAATCGCCTCTGGTCTTGAAAAGAAATCCATGCATAAGAGTCATAAACCACCTCAGACAAAAATCACCGGCAAATCTAAAGCCAGTAAGTCCCAGCCGTTTGATGCAGTTGGGCAAGTGCTAAAATTGACTGAAAAAATTGGTGTTGAGTCTGATGAAAAACTTGATGATCACAGGGAGAATCCACCCTTAATTGGTCATAAACCTGAGCAGGATCAAAAGAAAGCAGGAAATCTTTGTACAGATCCACAGAGCAACAATGATGATGAGCTTTATCATTGTCAGGAAAAGCTCTTCACCAACTGTCAGCAAAAAGAGGGTAATGGCAAAGGTGGCGCCGCTGGTGAATTGATGGTGACATCTTTTGGGAACGATGCCACGTCGGCTTTGATGCAGGTCAAACTGGAAGCATGTGAGGGGGAAAAGGATGGTGATTGTCTGGAGGCTGTCCCGGAAAATGACCTTCAAGTAAAGGCCGAGCCAGTGTCTGACAGTGAGGAGGAGTTGCTAACTGTCACTTTTGATGAAACTTCGGTGTCAAAATGCAAAACCAATTCATTGACTGAGGACAAAGGTACTGTAGCATCTGATTCATCCTCAATTTCCGGAAGCACACAACAGAGTGGTCAGGCTAAAAGTAGTGACAGATATTGTTCAAAAGATCCACTCATTACTACCTTATCATCTTGTTTGGAAGAGTCTGCAAGAAACTGCACAGCTAATAGTAACAGAGATTTGGATGGGACTGAAACAAAGATCAAGCTGCAAAGTGTGGTCTCACTGGCAACTGGGAAAGCTTTGCTGAAGGACATGGGACTTTGTCCACCACCTAATGTCAACAAACTTGTTTTCAGAAATGTAGGTCAATCAACCCCTGAAAAGCAGGAAGTGATTTTTGTGTACCCCAAAAAGCCTGTCATAAATTTCAGTTCCAGATGTCCAGCCAGTCCGTCTACAAGCCACAGCGTTGGCCAGAATACCGATCCTCTGGGAAAGCCTGGCCGTGAATGTAGAACAAAGGAAAGATTGTCGACTAAACCAGTGTCGCGTGTGTTGTCGAGGAAAAGAAAAAATGATTTAGAACCACAGACCAACAACATAAAACAAGCTGTTTCAACATCAACCAAGTTAGATATGAAGAGATCAGCAACAACAGCAAAAGAGGAGAAAATACAAAGTGTTGTCAGTCAGAATTTAAAAGGCGCAACTGTCCAACCATCGTCTGTTGCAGGTTCAAGCACTGACGCCGAACCTTCTAAAAGATCTACTTCACAGGGTCAGGACAACGCATATTTCCCATCACAGGAGTGGTGCGTGACAGGGCCAACTGTTATCTATGTCCATCCTCAAAAGCCAATTATCAACTTCAGTGGTCGAGCCCCACGGCCCTGCTCTTCAAGAAGTGTATATTACTCAAAGTTAAAAAATGACGCCTGACAGTTACATTTGGTCGAATAATTTGGCTGTTAACCGTTAATAATGATATCCTTTGGATTGCATGGACATTCTATAAGTTTTTTTTTGTTTTTTTTAAGTTGAAGTTCTGTGGATTCATTGAGAAGAAAAGCTCAATGGATTTGTTTTAGTTTAGGATAATGGTGATCTGTTGTAAACATGCTTTGGGAACATGTTTGAATCACTGTGTGTCATTTCATTGCACCACTAAACTTCCAAAGTGTTCTTGCACTCCCATCCATTTAGATGGAAGCTTACAGAAGTGTAAGTATCACACAGTCCTGGGTAAGATTTGAATCGAACTTTGTACCAGCACACAATGGCAATGTCAAACTACTCAGACACAAGCAGTAGTCACATTTGTCTGGCTTCTCCTCTATAGATAATGTATCCGGTATTCTTTAAAAGGAGGATTTTAGTCCCAGGGTGTATCAATGAACTGTGGAACGATGGTAGGTAGAGTGTTCTGACCAGTCAGTTATGTGTTTATAGTTTTAACTGGCTGGAATAAACTCTGATGTAGAAATTATTGAAGTAGATGCAAGAGAAAAGGCACCATGCTCAAGACTGAAGTCCATTATTTCTGTACCAGTCACTGTAGCAACATCAGGAAGAAACACACTTTGTGCCCTAGAGACTTTATTTCAAGGGAAGTCTACAATTGGATCTCACAACCTGTGTCAGATTCCCAACAAAATTCACCAAGTTTTGTTGTCTTCACTTAGAGTCTGAAGTGTAAACATAGATATGTTACTCTTGTTGCATTTAAAATTTATTATATTTTCACTTTCACTGTTGTTTCCTTGGCAGAATTTTCCCAGGAACTGATGGTCCTGCACTTTATTTAAAGTTTAGAGAAAATCACAAGATGTGTTTGAAATTTCAGGCTAGGGACATTGCATTTACCAGACATAGGTAATGCCTTGACCCTGGGTTTTCTGACCTTGCTTGTAACTTTGCAATGGTAGCATATGTTTCTGACGGCAGGCAAACCCATGAAACGCCAAACCTTAAGTGATTTCCTTACTCAATAGGTGTGATGGGTATGTTTTAACCCTCATTAAATATCAAAGTTGCATCAGTTGACTGCCAGGCTACAGTGGTACCATAAATGATGCTAAATTAGTGAGTGATTAGAATGGGACGATTTGGTATGACTTAGTTTTGTACAGAAGTTATGTCCAGAGCTTTCTGCAGCAAGGCTTAATAAGAAAGACACTGGTCTGAGGGTAGGGAATCTGAAAACAGCTCAGTGACAACACCTTTCTAGAAAAGACACTTGGTTATCTTTTGTTGAATTGATGTGTTCACCAATGACATTAACAGTGTTGTTGACAAAGGTAAGACATCAGTTGAGACAATTATTATAGTCATCATTCAATCAAAGTTCTGCCAAGTCTGCAGCCCCCCCTCACCTGTAAAAGTAAAATTCCTGCCGTAGGCTAGTCTATTCAGTACTCATTCCCAAACCTTACTTTTACTGTAGAGGTAAAGTTTCAAAAAATTTATTGTCTGCCACACAGACACTTGTCATACATAGTTCAGTATGTTTTTATATATTATTTTGGCAACTGTTATCACTGGCAATCTCATTTAAAATCACATTAGATTTTTTTTTTAAAGCTGATCTTTTTAGTTATTTCATCATTTGACCTGATCTCTTGACCATTTGACATTGAATTGAATGTTGGTGAGTTTTGGTGTGCTCTGTGTGCATGGAAAGTCCAAAGTGTCCCAAACTTCAAACTAAACTTTGAAACTTGTACTGATGATTTCATTAAGAAAATATTTGTTGCAGTATGGCTTAGCTTTCCAAATTGTAGGATGATTCTTTTCACTACCCGGTACCGGTACCAACTTATAACAGAATGGCCCTATTTAGGGGAGGTGCCCACTTCTTCTAAGTTATTGACTGAGCTTTTATTCCAATTGCATTGGTTGTTTGCTATTGGTTAGAGATGAATACCGGGTACCTCATAATCAGGACTAACCCTGTAAATATTGTACACTTTACCACAGATCTGGCATAGGGATTTAAGTATGAGATTTAGCCATGTTTATCATATAATGTAATAACAACTTACTGTGTGTTGGAGCACTTACTTGAAAATGTCAGTGTACATACATGTGGGTATTTTTATTCATCAGATAAAAACAACTGGTTTTACAACTGTATGTTGCTTACAGTGTTTGTTCAAATTTTGCATTCTAAATATATATATATATATTTTTTTTTCCATGTTCACAGTACTGATCACATTTCTATTTAATGTTTCTGTTAGTCTATGATTTATTTAAGCCACTGGCTACAAACAAAACAGTAAATGTAGTTCATGTTGCCCTTAATGTACGAGGGTCTTATGAAAGCATCCAAGATCAGAACATAAACCAGCATAACAACCCAGGGTGAAGTTAGGTTTAAAATTATTATTTTTTGTAAATTATAAATATTAACATTTATTAACAATTTAAGAGTATTTGATTTTATTTTTTAATTTCCATGGTGCACTTGTAACAGCCACTTGGAAACCATTATTTTTGGCTACTATTTTAAATGACGCTGCTATCTTTGTTTTTTTTCTCACACTTATGTTGCAATTTTAAGCTCATTTCATTAGAACAGCCTCCATGCTTTGTGTATAGTATAAAAATTTATAAGTTTTGCATTTTTAAAAAAAACAAATCATGTACTTTGTGTTTCAAAACAAGGAGTTGGGTCTTTAAAAAAAAAGAAAAGAAACAAAACAAAACAAATGATCACCCTAACACAATGACATGCCAGTTTGTGCAGCTGTAAATTTTGTATTTTTCATTATATCCTCTTAATTCACTCTAGAAATCAATGGGGTTTCTTTTGCTGTTGTATTTTGTTTGCATTACGTGTCATAACTCTCTGTTGTCCTTATCTGCCATGTTTTATCTCACCAACATCATGATTGGAGTCAAAGTGAGCCCCGAAATTATTTTGTTTTTTAAAACTGAGATGGTCAGCATAATTTGATATAATGTGTGCTCTTTTGAAAATTAACAAAACATTGATGACTGGTATTCATATACATTTTTTTTATATTTTACAATAACAATAGCATGGACTTTTGGAAGTATTAAAGAAAAGCTGTAAGAACTATTCAGGCCATCAACTATTTTAACATTACTATTGAAAAAGTAGTATCTTAACTCAATTTTATTGTTTTCATTTTATAACATAATGAATGAGTTTTTTGGGGGGACATAACTCATTATTTGTGATCCTTTCACTTTCATTTTTTTAAAAATAGTTCCAGATGGTCTGCAATGGATTAAGGAGTCACATATAGCACACCTTATTTATTTGTTTTTGACTTGAGCAACAAGGAGGATCATGTTTACTGCCTGATATAACAACAAAAAAAATTTTTTCATATCCAAAATGAGAAACACTACAAAAAATTACCGACAGTTGATTCACATGGCTTTATGTCTATAAAATAAACTGATTTGACTCCTCGCAAACTAGATTGTTGTAAAACCATTTTTTTCTCCAGTTTTATAATGTAATTGGCATTAGTTTCTGTTATTGACAAGAATCCAGCTATTATTATTTAGTGAATCCTTATCTTTAACTTTCCTTTGAATACTTTGTTAAAAAAAAATTTATTGATAAATTATCTTAATTATATTTTAGTAGTGTTTTGTTCCTAATTATTTGATTGGCCTCTTTTACCATGAATTATTCCAACCTTTTTAAACAGTTGCCTTGCAACACACTGGATTATGCCGTTAGGAAAATGTCTCTTCATTAAAACATCACATTGACACTGACCATTATAAACTCAACTGTTCATGTATGTGTGTTGTTAATAGTATTTACATAAAACATATTTACATCTGATATATGGGATCTGCAGACATCGTGATGCCCTTGATCTTGAGCTGCAGACATCATGATGCCCTTGAGCCACAAAGACCTATGAGGTCTCATAATTAAACCTAGGTTATTTTTTATTTTAATTTTGGTGTTTTGTTATGACTTAAAAATTCATGGCAAGGACCATATCCAGTTACGTTTGAGAAGTGGAGGGGAGTAATCCCTGAAGTATGTATATTAAATGCTTTTATGATTCACATAATAACTTGGAACACACTACATTTTAACTACTTTTTGGTATTTACTATTAAAAAACAATCATTATTAATATCTGTTACATGGAGTTTTTTGTTATCCATTTTCAAAAAAAAAAAAAATGTTATGTGCTATTTTCATTGGAATTTTTTTTACAGTAACAAAACTGTAAGTCATTGATTTTTTAAAAATTTGTTTCTTTTGCATGTAGTATCATAATATTAAACTAACGTTTCATTTCCTTGATGACTTATTCAAAGAAGTTTATTTTCACTATGTACTGTCAAAGCTAGGTTGTTATTGTATTCTTCAATGTTTACGTTTTTTGGACCGTTTTTTTATGTTTGATTTTTGTCTTCAATTAACAGCTTTGGAAATTATGGTACTAGGAGAGAGGGGAATAGGGAACCCTTTATTCTCACAAGCCCAGGGGCCCTCTATGTGGGCTTTTTTAGGGACTAAGATTACGAGAGCAGGCATTTTACACACTCTCTAGGGCAGGGGCTCTCAGTGTGGACTTCTTTAGGGTCTATGATTATGAGAGCAGGCATTTTACACACTCTCCAGGGCAGGGGGCTCTCAGTGTGAGGTTCTTGAAGCCTTTCAGGGTCTACTGTTACATGCTGGACTTTCTAAATGACTATCATCAGTTTCTAATTTTGTTAGTAAAGTACATACATATTGAGGTGCACCTTTGGCCCAAAAAAAAAGAAAATGTTTTGCAAGCATCATTTCAGCAAAACATGGACTAGTTAATGTGTGCTACATACCATATGATAGGAAATATCATTGTGACTTGTTATGTGACATAACAAAGGGTTACATAAAGAGGGCCATCGTATTGGTTGAATAGGGATTTCTTTTTTTTCTTGTTTTCTTTAAATAGTTACCATAAATTAAAGTTTTCCCCAGAGAAAATAAAAGAGTTGAGAAGAGGTAAATGAAAGGTTTTCTCCTGAGAAGAGGAAAGAGTTAAATGAAAGTTTTCTCTTAAGAGGAAAGGGGTAAATGAAAGGTTTTCTCCTGAGAAGAGGAAAGAGTTAAATGAAAGTTTTCTCTTAAGAGGAAAGGGGTAAATGAAAGGTTTTCTCCTGAGAAGAGGAAAGCGTTCGATGAAAGTTTTTCTCCTGGGGAAAGGAGAGGGTTAAATGAAAGGTTCCCTTCTGAGGAGAGGACAGAGCAAAATTTTTACAGATAACTTTTTTAACAGTGAAAATCATTAAAATGTATTCAAAATTTGAGTTTGCCTTTAAAAATGTTTTTAATGTTAAGGCATAGTTCCTCTTAGTTATTTATAGACAAATATTGTGGTTGGGTCTAAAAAGATTGTTTTGATTAACCAAGAAGCCAGAATATGATAAGAAATGAAGTAACAATTTCTTAAGATTAAGATATTGAAAATATTTGTTTATTGTTGAAGTGCCATAGTAAAATGACAGAAGTTTCAATGACATAACATTCACAAACTTTACAATGGTTATTATTAACCAGATAACTATATAAGAAATAATAGGGCTAATAAAGAAGTTAGTTAGGCTAACAAAGAAGTTAGTTGGGAAAAGGAAGAGTCAAATTAATATATATGGTACTTAAACTGTAACCAATTTAATTTGATCTGAATTGCTAACAGTCTCACTATCAGAATAAAAGAAAAACCTTGACACAATGCCCTATTGAAAATGTGACCTATAAATTTATAATAAAATGTATTTGATCAGTTAAATACCTAATCAAGTTTACTTTATGTTTCAACCAGTTCAATAGATTATACCAAATCAAGCTAAGGTATTTTTCAACAAGTTCAGTAGGTGTGTAAATGGATTAAATAAATCTTGGTACCACAGCAAATTGCAATTGCAATTAAAAATTGGAGACAGCAGATCTAAAATTACCTAAGTCACAAAATACCCATTTTGAGATAATCCTGTTCTAATATTATTTTTTATGAAACTTGATCGTTATTATTTTGTTTTGTTTTTTTAAAATAAGGGACTCTATCTCTAATAAATTTTAATGTGTTCAAATTTATGCTAAACCGGATAAGGAAAATGGTCACATTTTAGATTGATTTGAACACAAAAGTAACTTAATAATACTTTTAGCACTAGGGTCTTCATTTACAAACTTTTAAAAAATTTCAAAAGTTCTATAAACCAGCAGTTGGTTTCTGCTAAATTGACCACTGTTCTGTAAATATTCATCAACAAAGAGAATCAAAGTGCAATTTATTTTTTTTTAAATGTGATTACTAAAGACTGTGCTATTTGTAACTATTACTGTATACATACAACACAAATGAAATAAATTTTATAAAAATCAAATAAAGAGAACACCAAGATTGTTAAGCAATCAATGGGCAAATTTACAAAATGATTGCTCTGGGGCAGTGGTCGGCAAACTCATTAGTCAAAAGAGCCAAAAATCAGCAGCAGGACGATTAAAATTTTGTTGAGAGCCAAATTTCTTGTCAAGAACCATGTTTTTCGGAGTCAAAACGGATTTGTGGCCGCACTCAGATTGTTAAAGAGCAGCATGCGGCTCGCGACCCACGATTTGCCAACCACTGCTCTGGGGTGTTGTAAATAATGGGGTTCTGCATTTTAGAGGCATGGCAAAAAAGCCTTTTTCTTCTTTTTTTTTTTACTGTAGTTAATGTTTAAATTTAGTCATCATTAAAAAAACATTCAGGTGCAGTCCAGATATGTTAGAACAACTAGAGCATGAATTCTGACACACTTGACACAGAGCAGCTGCTGAGCTTGATTCATCTGTACATTACAGAGATTTGAATTCATAGAAAACAGCTGTTAGTATTCACATATTGATATGGTGTAAAGACAAATCAAAGTTCCACATTTATAATCATTACATTGTTTAGTGAATAAAGATGAATGATGAGCAGTGCTCATGTTGGTGCACATGTACTGATGGTGGTGGTGGTCATTGTAGAACTGGTTGGGTCAACTAAAATTTGCCGACACACATCCAGTTGTGTAAGCACACAACAAGTAAGTAATCACACATGTATTTTAAAAGCTGCACTGGTTTAGCTGGGTGGCAGAGGAAGTAAGACATAGGTGGGGCATCAAAACCATTACTTTTTTAAAAATTTAATTGAAGTTCCAAAATTTATTTCACATTTAAATGTGATGGTATAACTGGTCTCCTTGACTTATGTAAGGCAGAAATAGAAAACACAGACAAACAAAAGTAAAACCTGTGCGGACGCTGGACAAAGCAAACTAGACTTTAGGGATCCAATACACAGAGTCGACTTTAGTTAAAAACTTAGGTTAACAGCTGCAATATATGTCAAGATATAAAAACAACTCGAGAAATCAATGAACCATAAGTGAATGATTTCACAAAGTTTGTTTCGTCTTTCTAGTGCAGTAAACAGCACAAATATTAAAGCAGTGATTTTTGTAGATAGCTAGGCACGCGCAACAAATATTGCTGTGAAATGATGAGGTCGGTGAACTTTTATTATAATATCTCATAACAAAATCGAGTGATCACAACTAGAATTAATGTTATTTTAGCTCATGATTAAAAAGACAAGACAAAGTGGGAATCCTTATGTTAGGATTCTCCCACTTTAACAGTTACATATAAAATCATCATTAGGCTTGTGTAGATATCACATCATATTCTTGTATAATATAATACAGTTGTTGTATAAACATAATCTAGGCACTCATTTGTATGTAACTCACAAACATTATAGCAAACACATTTCCCACATAGATGATAGCTCATTGTATTGCCCTTTAAAAACAAAACATAATTACACAATTCACAACCGATGCAGACGTGAATTTGTAAAGCTTGAGAGAGGTTAAGTAAACTACTCTTTTCATCATTACCCCGGTATATAAAAATAAACAAAACAAAAAATGTCCATCTAAAGGTAAAAGAAAAACATTTTCATTTCATAAATGGCATCTAAAAAACATATCTACCATTTTGCTTATATACTTTTTTTTTTGTTTCGTTAAAATCAACAGTTCTCAAACTTGTCAGAATTGAAGCATTGACAGCCTCACTGACCATAAAGCTTTTCAAGAAGGGATACATTTTTAAAAAAAAATTAATTTTCAAAATTGATTACAGATAAACAAAATGTGACTTTGCTTTACTACTATTAGTAATACTAGTTGAAAATGGTCAAGTTTTTTGTAACAAAAACATTATAAACCCTATATGGAACAATGATGCGTTATAGTGCATTCATGTTCTGCACCTGTTACAAGCTTATAATAATTCTTGTCTTTATGACAAAAAGGTTACCACGACCTTATCTTGTTCTGCAAGTTAACATTAACAATACCGTTAACATTGATTTTAAGGGTGTTTTTTTTTTTTTTTACATTCAAACCAAAGGTTTTTTAAATTGCATGTAGTAGGTATATATTACATCATAGATATCATATCTATTGCTGAGGGCATTTTTTCATTGAAATTAATTCTTTCAGTAATTTACCCAACCATTAATTAAAACTAAAAATGTGTGGACCTGTATCCAGTATAATATTGACCTTATCACTCCTGAGAGTTATTATCAATTGAATTACCACACAAGTATCTCACTAACATGTAATTTAGACCTAAAAATTAAAATGTTTCGCAATCAAAGCTATGCATGTGTAATATAAATGAATGTTAGAAAACCCACACAAATGTTTAGACCAGATTACATCTGAATCATAATATCATTATTATTATTGATAGATGAAAATTATTACTTACAAGTACGATACCTCTTTTCACACCGATTATGTACCCTTAATTAAGACATCTATCAATCAATCAAATCCACAGTCCAATTTCTGCACAACACTGTTGCCCCACAAAACTGTACCTCATTGCTGTTTCACATAGCACAATGGAAACTGTTATACAGTGTGTTGATAAAAATTCTCAATTCTGGAGTTTCCTGATATTGCAGAAAATCTCTGTTAATGTCTTTGAAGAAATTATAGTACAGGTGTTGTGTTAAATATTGTCAGGGGTTATGTTAAATAGTGTTAGGGGTTATGTTGGATAATGTCAAGATTTATGTTCTTTAGTGTCAGGGTTCTGTCAGAAAATGTCAGGGTTTATACATCCAAAAACTCAGCAATGAAAATGTGAAACTATGTAATTAAGGAGGGAAAGAATAATTTTCCTTATGTATGTACATCAAATTTACACAAGAATGTTTTCAAGAATAGTAGATATACTCTACTTAAATAAAAACAATTATTTGTAAAAAGCTAGGGCAATATATCCATTTCTTTTTCATGAAAATATTCAATTCTCAAGAATAAATTTTTTTTTTTAAAAAGCAGGAGGCCACAAGCCAATGAAAAACTTTTTGGGTCACACATCTACATCAATCCACACACTATGCTATCATAAATACAAAAGATTTCTCAAATACATCAGCCACATCTACACATGGATGAAGCATCCAGCACTCTCGGAACAAAACCTTGCAACCATACTGACATATCACTTGCGTTCAGGAATGGTCCATCTAAACTACATACAGTAAAGTTAGCGCCTTTTCAGTCTGAGCCTTAGGGATGAACTTGACTTTTTTTTTTTTCAGCAAGAGCAATTAGACGTCTGTGGTGGGCTGGCGCTGTCTTGATTTCTGTTGGACAGCACCATCCCCTGATTTGGCACGAACATGTCTGGGGCTTGTTGGGCAATGAGGGAGCCCATGCCACTGTTGGGAACTGTCTCATACAAGTGAATCAGGTGTTTGGAGACTTGGAGAAATGCATCCTCAATGCCTGAAAGAAGAGAAATAAATAATATTTATATTGAGCCTAGGAAACACAGTAGTAATAGCTAGCCCTAGTAGAAAAAATACTTATAACTCTGTTGAAACCTTGGCAATCAGTTAAAACTGGTCTTACACAAAAAACGTGTATTTAGAAAGAATCATTTCAATATTATTATTATTAACAGCAATATTATGTGCATGCAAATGAGCCCAAATTGTTATTTACATAGTGTGATTTTTGTTTATCTGCTGCTATTAACAAGGTTTTCAGTTACCATATCTAAAATAATGTTTAACAAATATGTTTAACCAAACTAGTGTTACTGGTTGTCTTTATGTTATTGTTAATTTTTTTAAATAAACTTTTTATTCAAGCCTCTGCAGTGTTCGGTTCAGCTGATAGTATATTTATATGTTTATATGTATGTGTTTAAGCTTAAAGAATTATGTCTTCTTCTTCTTCTTTATTTTAAGGGCCCACGATCAATGAATTGATCATTCTGGCTCCTATGTTTCAGAGGGGTTTGCGATGTTACTGTCCATGAGTTTCAATGGGATACTTCACTGGTTGCAAGGGCGACTCAGCAGTGGTGTTATGAACTGGGGGTTGGAATACAGGAGGCAATAGACACAAATGTATCGAGTGTAGCCGCCTCAACTGTTGCTTTTGGAAGCTTGTTCCAGTCCCCTATTGTCTTCGGCAGGAATGAGGAAATTAGGCAACTGTCAGGTCAGATGACACAATAATTTTTGGTGACTTTCGGGTCAAATGAGAATAATTTTTGGTGAATTTCACTTCAAATGACAACAATTCTTGGCGACTTTGGGTCAGATCCCACAATAATGTTTGGTGACATTTGGGTCAGATCACAGAATAATGTTTGATGACATTTGGGCCAGGTGACACTGAGAGATCTTAAACAGTCTATTTCATTACCTGTGTTTTTCAATGCAGAAGTCTCAAAGAAGAGGGCATCAATGGATGAGGCATACTCTTCAGCATCCTCCTTGCTAACCTTCCTCCCACTGTCAAGGTCACTCTTATTACCAAGGAGGCAAAGGACTATGGAGATAAATTAAAAGGGCTCTTTCAATAAGATTAAAATCAGATCAAATTTGCTTCATGCATAGAGACAATGCACACTGCCACCAAATATGAGCCAGTTCCGTAGATGTGGTTGCTTGGGCATTTGTATATATCGTTTATTGAAAAATTGCTTAAATGCAGCGCATGACCATATAATGCAAACCCTGACTTTAATTAGCATTTTTAACATAAATTTTCCGCCTTATTATTACTATACATATTTGGTTATGTCCTATTTGGTTAGGTCATATTTGGTTTTGTCATATTTGGTTATTTAATTTTTTTTTTTCATATTTGGTTATTTCATATTTAGTTTTGTCATATTTGATTATGTCATATTTGCTTATGTCATATTTGATTTTTTCATATATGGTTAAGTCAAATCTGGTTATGTCATATTTGGTTATGTCATATTTGGTTATTGCAGATTTAGTTATTTCACTCTGTTTGTTTGGAACTGATTACAATGATCTTATAGGGCCTTACTTATTAGTTACATTTTTCAAAATTAAGAACTTCTATTTAGAAATAAGTTATAGCAATAATAACCCATTGTTACATATTAGTTGATATAATAATATCCATATCCAGTGGAGCAGCTAGAGCAAGTGAAGCTCAGGGCAGTACTTGATGATTTTTGCCCCCACAAATAAACAAAAACCAAAATGCTTGCAGAATAAGGATTAAAAATAAGCTATTTCTGAAGTGGGTGGAAAATGCAACCTCAAAATAGGTGCTTCCCTAGGCAGATCTTCCCCCCCCCCCCACACTCTCCTATACCTATGCCTACATCCATATCTCTCTGTGACTGCAAAGTTTAACTATTCCCAAAACAAGAGTATAATCTTATTAGCCAAGGGGAAAAAAAATAAGATAAGTCCTACTCACCAATTGGAGTATCAACATTTTTCTTCAGTTCTGCAATGAAAAAAAAAAATTAACATAAGTAGGGAACAGTATTCCTTCAAACAAAATATGAGAAGTAAAAATAGATTTTTACACAATGAAAACAGCTGACACCCAAACTATGCAGTCATTTGTATTACGTTTCATAACTCCCTGATTAAAAAGCCCATGAAATGATAAAATTCATACAACCAATTATGTTTAAAATATCATGCTGCTTAACCGAAAGACAGACCACAACAGAGTACTTAGCCTTACAGGCTTAACCCAAAGAAAGACCACAACAGAGTACCTTAGCCTTACAGGCTTAACCCAAAGACAGACCACAACAGAATATCTTATCCTTGCGGCTTCAAAAAAGCAAATCCAGCTGAAATCATTGTATATTTTTGCCCAAGATCAAATAGGCTTTCAGGTGAAGCATTTCCTGTTTGTTTCTGTTTCCAGGAAAATTATTGCGTGCACAGTTATTCTCATAATCTTATAGGTTTTGTTAAACAGTTGCAATGGTATTTCGTTTAATTGGCTCATCCCTTAATAATCTAAGCTTCCATTAACAAGGTTTCTAATCAGCATGGGAAAAAACCCATCAAACTGCAATAAAATTATGCTGTTACAAGACCAGCTCCCAAGTGACACCCACCTTTCACCCAATCCTTAATATCATAGAAACTTTCTAGAGATGTGATGTCATAGACCAACATGGCTGCATTGGCTTTTCTGTAGTACATTGGGGCCTGCCATTAAGAGAAAACAAGAGTGATGATGGATAACAAATTTTAAAAAACTGACTCAAGCATGTTTAGTGAAAATAGTTCATGATTAAACAAAAATCAGAAGCCTAGTTTTAACGAAAATGGTGGAATGGTACAATTTGCACTATTCGTGTATATATATAGTTAAATTATGGGGCATACTGGTAGTTATGTGGTATCCTGAAGAGTTAAGTTTTCCTTTCCTGGATATTTAGTCAAATCTCAGTAGGTTTTCATCAAGTTCAATGGGGAACGGACATGCTGTTGATTATTTTCTGCACTATTTCAACACTCAACTGTTATCAATAATAATGAGCTGAAACACCCCCCCCCCCCCCACTTCTATAATTATTTTTAATATGACTTTGGGGGGGGGGGGGTTTGGTGGTTACTACAATTGGAAAATTCTATATTGGATGATACCTGTATCATATCTTTCATTCTAAGTTGGTTGTTAAAAGTGAAGTTAGGAATTAATAGTAGCTTCCTGGTGAAAAATAAAATTGAACAAAAGAGAGATGGAAACAAGATGAAAAAATTTACCATTGATCGAAACCGTTCTTGTCCAGCTGTATCCCAGACTTGAAGCTTTACTCGATATTGCTCCAAAGTTCTGAAAAATTTATAAACACGATTAATCAAATATTCTGATCCTTACTGTGGTAATGCAATGTTGTTTAGTCATACGTTGTGAGATGTTGATTTTTATGAACGATGTTGTAAAAATGTTTGATGATAGATGCGTTCCTGACATTGTGCAGTGTTGAAAAAAATGCATTTCAGTCCTGGATCCAGATATCTGGGTGGTCCAAGGAAAGTGTTTGACATGTGAAAAGGTTTAATGGGACGCTGCACGCTGTTCCATCGAAATTCCACTGTGACACAACTCACACATCATTAGTCAGAATATGGATGTATGGTGCGGCCCTGTGCAGGAACATATGGCCAAACTAATATGTGTCCATTCTTACAAAAGTAATATGGCCCTGGAAGCTCTCTTGAAACCCCCTGAGAATGAACACAGCCATATTAATGAATAAATGATAAAAGAAAGTTGTATAAAGCCCAAGCAGGCGCATGAGAATATTTTTTTTTTTTTTAATGGTTAAAATTCAATCTAAGATGCAAGAAAAAAAAGTTTTGAAAAAATAGAGTAACTTACAGCTTATATGTGAAGAAGGATGCTCCAATAGTGGGACTAACAGCTTTACTAAACATTCCTCCGACATACCTTATCACCACGCTTGTCTTACCCACACCTTGAAGTAACAAATCAATTTATAATATTAAAAATAATATGTGGTCAATAGCAAATAATGAATACACTGCGCTGCATGACATCACAATGCTTGTTAATGGCCCTTCTGCACTACAGCTCAAAATCATATTTGGAGTACTTCTATTTTCTTTTGTTTGACTTAAAACCCGCAAATTTAACAATTTTCCAACATTTACGTTCAAGGCATAACTTTATTTTTATTTTAAAGGTCAAGGTCCAGAACATTGAAGCTGTGCAGAAACCTGAATAAGAGCTTTTTTTTAAAATTTCATCTCTTCCATTTTTTCTTCGAGGTCACCAAACTTCCTTTCTTGAATCTAACTGACAAAGATTCAGATGTGTTTTATAATAGTTTAGAGTCTTATATTTAAGACAATTTAACAGTGATAGTATTTTATTTTATTGTTTGAATTATAAGCCTGTTATCTGCCCTTCAGCTTTGACTATTAAACAAATTGCTGGTGGGATGAAAAAAAAGCAGAGGCAAAGTGATCCTGGAACTTTGATACATTTTTAAAAAAAAGACTTTCTAATAGGTAAAAGAAACCCACTGAACACAGATGTTTAATATAATTTAATTTAGTATCATTTTAGATTAATATTTATGAAATATTAAATGAGATGGTTCAAATGGTAATTCCTTAATAATGCATTAATAGGCTTCAAAATTCAAACAGGCTTTTGTTTATGGTACACTCATGTTATAGCATATAGCGTACGTCTTGACCTATTTTTCACTTCAACATAGAGCTATTTTTAGTTACCATCACTTGTCTCCATTAGTATTGCCTTGATATTGATGTCACTGAGTAAATGTGCTGTGTCATTACTCACACATTGCGCCCTTGGTTAGGAAAAGGTTGTTTATGTTCGAATGCTTTCTATTTCTTCTAAAGAATTGCATTAGGCAACGCAATTTCTAGGATTTTTTTTACTAGACCGTTCTGATTTAATTCCTATAAATATATAGGCTGTCAAGTTTCTTAGCTAAGTCAGAGACATTTGCTATACAAGACGTTATATAGTTGTTTGTGTGTAAATTAATAGCTTCTAGATAACTATTGGTAGCCAGCCAATCAAATCAAACCAAAATGGATTCAATCATGCTGGTGAAGTATTGCCCCATTCATTTTTTACTAGTTCAAACTAGTGACAACATTTAAGCTGGATAATGAATCATGAAAACATTTTAGCTTTAAATTGCCATTTTGATACTTTCTAAAATTTGGAAAATGCCATCAAAACTTTGGAAGAGTTTCAAACTGCAGTCTTTATAAAAAAGAATTCTACATTGCTATATAATCATAATCGATAATAAAGTCATAAAATACATAAATGTATGATACTGGGGGGAATGGGGTCATAGTCTGAAAAAATTAGACCCAACTTCTTTTTTGCCAAAGTAATATCTGCACATCTGAAACATAAAATCCAGGTGAGGCTGAGAAGTAAATTTATTGTAAACATTTTGTGTGTGTTAATTATTATGATTAAAATTATAATTTAAATATAGGACTAAATATGTAGGATGATAGTTTTACCGCATACAAAGTGTCCCTAATAAAAAAAATCTTGTTACTTTAGTTACATGGAACTGTATAATAGCTTTGGCCAATTTCTGTTTAGGGACATGGTCACGTCCCCGTCCCCCCTGTTATTGATTTTCTGGTGGGAGATAGGCCGATACTGAGTTACGCAATGAGCACTCGTTAACTTAATTAATAAGTATTTATATTTTTATATACAATTTAAAAATTTCATTGGGTAAATTGTTCATCTATAACACAAATTAATTTAATGTCTCAGAATCACTATTAAATATTTATTTTTTAACGCAATGCAGAATCAATGTTTTTAAATAGCACAGAATCAAATGAAAACATAAGTCGGAATACATAAAATGTATACAAGGAAAAATATGTGTATTTATTATATTATTTATATTGTGCCTTGAAAACCTGATTGAGTGAATTAATGAGACTATATACACAAAATAATTTTAGCAATGCACCACAACCAGACCAGACACTGAGACAGCTGTCTAAAACATTGGCGCACATTTTTCTGGCAACATTTTTATTGTCTAGATGACACAAAAAGGTCAAAATTTCACAGCTACCGGTACTTAACTTAACTTGATTTAAGACTTAAGTTTAAGAGAGTGATTTAAGTTTAAGTATGTAGTAGTTTTAAAAAAACAGTGACTACCAATACTTAGTCATTTCAGCCCTACATGAGTCTATCACCAATTAGTAGTTTTTGATAATAAACTACCAACAGCCACGATAGCCATCATTATTTTCATTAATTTAAATTAATTATGAATGAAGGTGGAGACAATCTTAATGGTATGGAGATATTCAACAGATATTGTTAGTTAGTCTTTAATTTTAATTTTTATTAAATATACGTCTGATTACTCAGAATTACTGCTAGGTAAAAATGTCTGTATTAGTTCATGCATAGCTTCTTACACATCATTAAATTTATGTAAAGAACTGTAATGTATAGGACTTCGGTAAAAACAAAAATTTAAATTATTTAAAAGGCAAGGCAAAACTTACCTTGCGAACCGAGAACTACTACCTTTGCTTCTAACGATTTCATGTTTAGTTCACTCATTTCCGGTATTGTTTTCTTAATTAATGAATATGTGTACCAATGAAATCAATATAGTCGAATCTAAAGTTATCTACATGCAAAAGTATGCCACTGCCCTGATTAGAATCAACTGATTAGTCAACTATCGCCATCTTGTTAATGTTTGTAAACAAGGACGAATACTTCCGCTTTCCGCTCCAGCTGCTGCACAGCACATAAAAATTTCGATGGAGCAGTGTCTAGTCTATATATTATTTATTTTTATTTTAAAGTGGAGTTAAAATCCTTTCTTTCCCTTATATTGATAACGAATTTTAAAAATGGGATTAAATGCTTTAGTTAACTTTTACCAATGCCTTTATTTTATTTTTAATTTAACTACTTTTTAATGTTTTTACTAACTTCTTGGTGGTTGCGGAATATATTTTTTTTCCACGAAATATAATATCTGCCATAGAAGACGTCCGCAATTTAAAAAATGTTAAGCATACTGGAATACACACAGTGGGCCTAAAGCAACCTATTACCCACCCCCACCCCCCAAAAAAGGTAGCTCACTGACATCCTAAATATTCTTTATACGGCTTCCGCCATTAAGTCCCCCATTTGAACCGCCCCNCCCCCCCCCCCAAAAAAAAAAATCTTTACTCACGTGCTTTATGAAAGACCCCATACGTGACGTGCAACTGAGATGTGATTTAAAAACTTGCAAGTTGACACTAATGGAGAGACAATTTGGTGACAATTTCTTAACGTTTGATGCATCATGCATGGACTACTGCAATCAATGGTGGGTCTTCCAGCTACGCTCCTGGATAAAATTCAAAAAGCACAGAATAATGCGGCTCGCATTGTTCTTCGCCAACGCAAATTCGACCATGCTAAAACACTTCTGGGAGAGTTGTATTGGCTGCCGGTCCGCGCTCGCATAGAGTACAAAATTTCAAAAGTCTGGAGGATGTCTTCTTCAGCTAACAAACCAAGATTAACACAAATACACAAATAGAAATTTAACTGCAAGTAAGTATTCAAAAGGACAGCAAGAGGTATGTGCAGACATTATTCTAAGACGGTGAGGAAATGTCATAAATTGTTGCAGAATCATATGCCAAAATGTACATAATTAATGATTATGTAATATTTTGTAGATGGAGGGATACCATTTCATTCATTACACATTTTTTATCTAAAGTTTCCCATAAGAGTGGTTTATTTATATCAAAGTGAATTAATTGATCTTCCCATTGCGACACTCGGAACAGGTTATACACAATAATATTTTCTTACACCCATCTGATAAAAATGGTTAGAGAGCAAATATACAACTGTGGATATATATTTCAGCCATATATTCTACTAATGCTATAATGCTACTATCCTACAATAGGCTTACTTGACCATAATTTATTTATTTTAATATAATATGTGTTCGTGAATAGCTATTCCATGCAATAAACGTACTTCTGTGTCACAGTGTGTTTATTTCATCAAAGTATTTGTTATCCAAATTTATTTTATTTTTTAAATCTTAAAATTATATTGTTTACATCGGCTATAGCCATAAAATTAATTAACCCATTCATTTCTGGGCATTCAGAATTTTTTTGTTATTTAAAACCTCAGCCAAAGCAGAAACTCCACCCATACCACAGACATGTATCGTAATTTGTATTAAACAAATCGATTTCATTGGTTGCTTTGTGCGTTTCTCATTTTTTTCTCAGTGATTTTGCTGTGTAAAGTCTTTAAAAGTTTCAAAAAATGTAAAAAAATCTTCCCCCCTCCCCCCAAAATATAAATTAATCTTTGCCCCTCCCCCACCTTTATAAAAACGTCTGCGGATGTCCATCATACGTCCATGATATGTGAATTTCTCCAAAAAGTTGAAGTTGTACCCCTAGGTGACGATGGTCTAATGAGAGTCTCCCTCAGGCAACAAGGCTATCTAAGGTTGGTTATCTTCTTGGAGGCGTAAAAGTAGAGGTATCTTACATAATTTTTCATTAAAAAAAGGGGGGGGGGGGGTATTATTCTTGAGTGATGCCAAGATCGCACCTATAAATGATAAAGGACGTGAGGACAATTTTTGCATTGAGACAGAAATTGTCAAAGAACGTCGGTAGCTAAGCCGATCTTTCTTTTTTTTTTCTCTCTCTCTGCTGATGCCTGACAAGCTCTCCAATTTGAAACATACTGTAATGTAACAGAGAGGTTGTGATATCACTTGCTAAGCCCCTGTCTCTCTCAACGCATAAACGGATCGAATGTCTCCTTCGCCCTCCCATATCGCACGGCACTGGCCATTACTACTCATACAGTGCCTACAAGTTTTCATTTATAAGATTCAACCAATCATTATTTATTTTGCCAGTGCAGTCCTGGTAAAATCAGTACGAATGGTCACCGACGTTAAATGTTTGCAGATTTTTGGAGTAAAATAAATCGGTAATTCAATATAATTTGATGCGATGATTGGAAATGTAATGTTTGGATGCGTTTTAGTTATTAAGGATAACCACGTTCTATTATAGGCACTCTACTAGAATTTTCAAATACCAGAACTTATAGCGCATATTATTGGATAGAGCATGCTTTCCGATGATACGAAGATTATCTTTCTATCATTTATTGGAGAAAAGTTAGGGATTTTTAGTGATTTGCTTTCCTCGCTATTAATTATCTTTTTAATTCTAAAAACTTTGATCGAATTATTACTCTTTTTGTATTGTTATGTTTTTATCTGTTTTGTCTATTAAAGCCACAGTGCTTAAATTTGGAGGAGATATTAATAGTAAAATGTTTAACAAAACAAAACACGTGAATTGTAAATTAACGTATTATCTTTAATAAAACATGATTTTATGAGCATATTGCCCTATTAGCAAATTTCGAAGAAAAAAAAATGACATTATTATTAAACCAATAAAGCTAGTGCAATTAAATGTTCAGTACAAATAATGTCCATGTAAAAATAAGGTGCATTTTAAAATAAATTAAATGCAGAATTGAGTAGCCTATTCTCAACGTTTAGGCGTACGCCTTATAATACTTATATGTAACAGGCCTACAAAACTTAAATTTTTTTTTTTTTTTTTTTTTTAATAAAGTGGTAGTGAAAATTTTGGGGTTTTGTGGAAGAATTTTGGGGCATTTTGATACTTTTCAAATTTTTACCAAAAATAGGTGGATTAAATTTTAAGTTTACTATCTTATATGTAACAGGCCTACAAAACTTAAATTTTTTTTTTTTTTTTTTTTTTAATAAAGTGGTAGTGAAAATCTTGGGGATTTGTGGAAGAATTTTGGAGCATTATGATACTTTTCAAACTCTTACCAAAAATAGGTGGACTAAATTTTAAGTTTACTATTTCATACTGCGACCAAATAAAAAGATCGTCGCGGCCCCATCATATTTGGAAGTTAAATTAAATTTTGGATCATAAAGATGTGTCATGTACATTTTTTAAAATTAAAAATAAACGTAAATAATAGAGAAATAAATCAATTTTAAAATGAAATATTTCAGCAACGTACACGGGCTAACGTAAAGAAGACATGCCGTGGCGTCATTTAAGTGATTATTAAGTTGCCGTGTAGGAGTCACTTCCCTTCGTTTACTTTTAGAGAATTATTATTATTTAATGCATTAGTATTCATATGCCGAAGGAATGTTTAGTATAGCATTGCTTTTTTGTTGTTGTTGTTGTTGTTTCTTTGCTCATGTTCTGATTTCATTTGTATATCAATGGCAAATTATATGCATTTAAAAAAAAAAATAAACATGAAATGTTAATGAAAAATAGAGACCGTATTTTTATATTGATTACCGGCCGTATAGACAAATGAGCAGGGCTACCAAAGCTTGGGATATTTCCCAAGATGTTGGGAATTCACGACCCCCCATTAGGAACTGAGGAATAATTTAAAAAATCAGGCAAACCTTGGGAAATTTTAACAGGGGGAAAGATTTTTTTGGTAAATGCAAAGAAGAGATGCCATGCTTTTTTACGGGTCATATCAACCAAGATGGCGGTGACGAAAAAAAAAGTAGTGCAAAACACGTGTGATTAAAAAAAAAGGGGGAGATGATGGGAGATATGTATTATTTCATTTACTTACCGAAAAAAAATTTTAAAAGAAAATTTAATTTTTTTCTTTTCATTTGTAAAAAGCGAAAATTCAACAATTTAGCCGATACATAATTTTACTGGTAGACGGCCGCTTTCACTTAACCTTACCTGAAGCCTAAATGTATCCCTAAACCTAACCTAACTTGACCTAAGCTTACCAGATTTTCTGTATGCCAAATACGGACACAAAAAGCTCACAGCAACTGGAATCATTCCGGCCTGGGGGGGGGGGGGTGCTTGATTTGGTTAGGACACTCCCCACTGTTCTCACCCCCAAAACTCGTACGTGTAAGAAGCTTTTAGCCCCCATCCCCATAAAAACACCAAAGAAATCAAATAACTTAATGGATCAGTCTGACGTCACAGGAATTGTTTTAAAAAAATATGTCGTGGGTTTGTACCGCCGTCAGTTTGGTCAGTCCAGTGGTCCCCATATATACGTCACTCTTGGTGTCATGTTGCCCTTGGGCAGAGCCATGAATTATGAGAATGGTGCAAAGAGGGCGGTCACAGCGGGAATCTTCTTTAGATAGGATCTTAATAGTGAGTTGGCATTGCTTTTGATGAAAAGTTGCAGCTAATCGAAATATGCAAGAAACAGAAATATGATAATAATAGATGGGAGCACTGACATTTCAGTCACTCAAATTTTGGCCGTTATTTTAATGTAAGATATCTTGATTTAGATAAGCTGGATGCTGCTGACCCTCTGTTGGACATTGTTACTGTAGAAAATGGAACAGCTCAAGGACTTTACAATGCAGTTAAATCTCTTCTACAAGAAAAAAATATTCCTCTTAACAATATCATTGGTTTTGTCAGTGATAACTGTTCCTCCATAATGGATTTAAAGAGTGGCTTCCCGAAGCTATTAAAGGATGGAGTTCCACCATTTTTGATAATGGGATGTGTAGGCCTATATCGCTCATTTGCCCTTTGTGCGAGCTATGCCTGTAAAGTCTTACCATCTTATCTAGTAGCTTTCCTCAAAGATATAACGTCTTATTTTTTCTAGGAGTGGTAAAAAAACAAAGAGATTTCACAGATGGTCAGGATGTAATTACACTAGC